TAGGTGAAGGTGTCACCTTCCCAAAAAGAAAATGCACAAGTCAGAAAGACTCTGTTCAGAGGACCAATCCAATTCAAATGACCTAAGGCCCCAATTTAGTGAAAGGCTTAATCATCTACTAAACTGGCATCTAATAGCATCCTTACAGGGATGTTGAGTTATGAAGACATTTATTAAGGAGCCGGTATATATGCAGGGCAGAGGAAAAGCTGTAACCTTCACAGTTTCACAGACACAGCGATTCTTCATGATTCTCAGGGAATGCACAGATCCTGCTTTCCTCCCAGCTGCTTTGTAAGCTCATGCCTGTCATAGCTAGGAAAAGCTTCCCTCTCCACGTCTTCTGCTTGCACTACTCTCCTACAGATAATAATTGTTCATCTGATCACGCACTGGAAACCGCTGGCACCAAAAATCAACAGTAAAACCCCACAGGAGCTTTCGACTGCCGGATCACAACAGGTTTACGTGGACTTCAGTAGAAATGTTCACTGTGTCACTTCACCAAATTACTTCAGATATAACTTACCATGTAAAACAAAACATTCCTTTGGATTAGCAGCTGGTTACAGTTATCACAGTAGAGTGACTGTCAACTACCCCACACATACTTGGTACAGAAAAAGTGTTGACCCAGCCAGGAACTAAACAACAAATGGGAAAATGTCTTTCATGCACTCTCTCCTGTAGTAACACATACTTCCAGGGAGAAAATTCACACGCTTGTGGATGCAGCCGTATCTGCCAGAGGCATCGGTCTCCTCCTGGTCAACTAAAGCACACGCTGACCCCTCTTCTGCACTGAGGAAGCCTTCTGCTCAACTCACCTGCTCTCATGCGCTCCTGCACGCCTGCGCTGTACTTGAGCACAATGCCATGATGGGGAGGTTTCACCAGCTCAAAGAAAAGTCCCTCGGGAGCTGTATCTGTGTCGCTCACGGCTAACTGGATCCCTGTGCCGGGGAAAGAGAGCACGGCTTCGTCATCCTCAGACATTACACTGGAAATATCCTTTAGGTTCTGTGATGTGCTCTTGTGAATGGAGTCAAAAAACTGTAATTCAGTCAGTACATGAAAAATAAAATAATTCTTGAGCTGCCCTAGCCCAAGGGCTTGCTGGTTTTATGGCAATAATTAGTCCCCTGATGATGCTTAGATCAGAGGATGTATCAGAGAACTTATTGCCTGTATGGCTCACAAATGACAGCTATGCAAACCCTCAAATTATGAGAGAGATCTGCACATGTTCATACAGCAGGGGAAGTATCTACAAAAACCCCAGAGAACATCCTGACACAAGCAGAAAGCGGCTTATCCTAAACAACCCAGCGTACCAGATCACACCACTAACCAAGAGTTCAGCAACTGCAGAGCAGTCTAAGAGGAAAAAAGCAGAGGAGCAGCAGGTCCCTGACCCTGCTCTCCCCTGCCTCAGCCAACGAACGCACCTGCCATACGCTGGAGGAGTACTGCCCTCACCCCAGGCACTTTTCTGGGGCACCACTGCACAATTTTCTCAGCGGTTGCTGCTACACCCGCACAAGCACAGTTCCTCAGCTAAATGGACGGAGGTGAGTGAGACCAAACTCTGCTCTGCTCCATCCATGTGGCTTCCTGGCAATGAACACCGTGCCGCGGGCTGAGCTCCGCACCCCATCCCTTGCACCCTACTCACCAATGGTGGCTTTGCCCCCCTGCCTGACCTCCAGGAGAGGAGCTGTGATCTGGAAGACTGGAGGCTGCTGATCCGCAGAGAGCAAATGAATGACAAACACCATCTCCGGGGTTGTGTGTTCTCCATCAGACACTAGACACAGACAAAAAACACACCTGAGTGTAGGGATGTGTTTTCAGGGACTCACCTGGGAAATTCACCTTTCTGTACAAAATCACCACCTCACATCGCTGACTCCGCTCCACCCTTGTCAATCTACACCTTTGTCTGTGGACATATACACACAATTCACACCTGTGAAGAGTATTTATCTTTGCCCCTGACTCAACTCCTAGCAAGACAAACGTAACTTCTAAAAGTCTCTCTGTGTGCATGCGTGCATACTATTTTCCATGCATCTACCTATCAGAACATGAACTTCTCCTTGCTGGTGGATCACTTTGCGTACCTATGCTAGAAAGTGCATGGAAAGGGAAAGGTGTGTTAAACAAGCGAGCAGCTTATCAGCAGCAATTTAATTATGGAAATGTTTCCATGCTATATTTAAAAAAAAAAAAACCAACCCAACAGCTGAAAACTCTGATGTCCTTGTTCACATTGGGGAAAAAGAGGAATGAATCAGTCTTTTAGGACAGATTGCACACAACTACTGGAAAAAGGTGTCTCTACTTAGCTGCAGCTTAGCTTCTATAAAACACAGTTGCGACACAGATGAATTAATATTCCCCAGGCACAGGCATTTCCAGAAATTCTGCTGAGCGCCCACAGGTTTGCTTGCAGCAGAAGACAAGCCAAGGAGTTATGGGCAACGTGAAAGGCACAAGGATAAAAACTGCTTTGGCCAGCAGAAAAATGGCTCACATACCTGTGAATCGGAAGTTCACTGACTCGGGGAGACCTGACGGGACAAACACAAGCACAGAGTTAACTGTGGTCCGGACAGGAAAGCACACGCTGATGTGGATTTTAACAACTTTTGGAGAAAGCAAGCACTGACATTCAACCAGACTGGAGTCTTTCCTCACCAAGGAAAGTACTCTTTCCTTCCCTTCGCTTCAGCTAATGAGAGATAACATACTACCCCCTCCTACAAATTCTGAATCCCCTCTTGATGTCAGTGGAGGGCATGGTGATGCATAGAATGCCATCTACCATGTACTGTCACTTCATCACACAATCCTGCGCACCAACTGGCCAAACACGCTTCAAGTTTGGCCTGTTTCTGTCCCTGCACCTCCCGCTCCAGACCGTTTCTTCTCTGATGGTAGCAATCTTCTAGTATCCTGGCTAAATTGATTTCGTTCATCAATTCTAGTCTCCATCTCAAGGACTAAACCCCCAGTGCATCAAAGATCTCAAGCACAGGAGGGACAACAGTTCCCAGCCACAGAGCAGCCCATCAGAGGTTTGGCCGGCACAGCATCCAGCACCGGCAACGCTAAATGCTGCAGCGAACACTGCCATATCCCCATAATTCACCAAATGTTATACCAAACCACAGGGGAAAATCTTGTTGAAATCATAAGAAACGGGTGAACTCTTGGTATGCTCCTCCAAGGCAGATTCCTACTTCCTTTGTCTCATTCAAGCCTCCTGCCCTCGCGAGTATGGACATAACCACGAAGTCATTCCAGGACCGAAGGAAGACCAGCAGTCCAGCTACCTCTACCAGTCTGACACGGCACTACAAAGCACATTCAGTTCCTTACCCGCAAAGGAGAAGGCGATGATTTCTCTTAAGTGAGGAGCTGCAGTCGGTGGACGATAAGCAATCTTGCCATGGTTTATATCTGCTTGGGTGAAATACCTGACTGGGGAGAGAGGCCTGTCTCTATGCTCCACGATACCTACAAAGGGAGAGAGCTCAGTATTAACGAGATACCAAAGGCTACTGCATCTTTTTCTCTTCCCAGATACTTCTTTTTACATCTTCAGTGGTTCCTGTATGAGTCAGATGGCTGTAACTGCGTCAAGGACGGGTTCTTGGGACATGAGAAATTAAACAGATATTCCTCACTTAGTCCTTTCTTCAAATACCTCTCACTAGAGAGGTGGAAAACAGAAAGCCATGGAGTACAACGTTCAATATATTCCAGACAATAGTAAGAAAACTGTCTTGAGCTCTGTGGCTTACTCCCGAACAAGCCACAGAAATCAGGTTAAGAAACAAGGTGTTTGAAAGCTAATGAAGGAGACCGAAAAGATTAACAGATGCCTCCACAGAATGATACTCTTGAGGGAAAAAATGAGATGTGCTTAGAAAGCGTGGCAATCAATTTAGCAACAAGCTGCCATGTTCTGAATAGGTACACTTGCCTTGGCCAGGAAGGAGAGGGACAGTCACGTTGAACAGGATTTTCTCACTGGGAATCTCCGGGTCTACAAAGGAGAGGTGATGGGGCTCAATCACTGTCACACGGTCCTCCAGCACCTCAATAAACACATTAGACCATGAGCATCAAGGCCAGAGACATGGGAAGATTCACGCAAAAATGCATTGAAAGAGAATTTGTTTTGTTACAGTTAAATATAAGAAAGACTTTGAATTTAAAGGCCTAGTTCTTAGACCTCAAACCGACACGGGATGAATGGGCTGAACCTTTATCAAGCCTCTCAAACTTGTACAGAATGGGGACTATTTGGGAGGAGATTACAGAGGACGCTGAAGCCTGATAACGAGTAAAAACTGCTAGAGTCTTACAGCCCACTTAAGCTCACTTTCAGCTCATCTGTGAACCAAACCAAATGTGTAACGCAGAATCCGGGTACTATCATGCTCAACAGAAGAGAGCTCTATACACGTCCGCCTCTGTTAAGTCCTCTCTGGAGAATGAGAAGGGGCTCATAAACCTACGAAAAAGAGACAAACACCTCCTCCTTCATAAAACTATGAGCTGATCCCCACTTTCAGGCTGTCCAGGAATGTGGCAGTGTTTTTAGTGCACTCTGTCCTCTGCAGATGCACAACCTCCACACTCACAGGTGACGCAGTTTCTTTTTTGACCTACAGCAACTAAGAAGAGATAAAGGAAAATACAATTTGAACAAAAACTCCCTGGATGAAGATATAATTAATTGCCTACATAGTTTTCTGGTACAGTTTGATGTGGCTGGACTGGATTTGCTTTTAAAAGAAATCCTGAAAATGACTCGGCCATTTCCACTGGGATATAGAGGAACCAAAGCTTTCCCTTTTGTTTTAAATCTGTCTAAAAATGTTCTGATCCTTCCATTACAAGAGCATCATTAGCCAAAGGCAGGCAGTGCATTACAGGACTTACAGCGCTGCATGAACAGACTTAAGTGCACAAAACCCGTTATCTTGCAGGTGTTCATGAACCTTAATCCTGCAGAATTAACAGCTATGAGAAGTCACTGAAGTAAATAGTTTGGCTGGGGATGAAAAGCATCCAGCTCATTTCATAATCATGAACAAGATACGGAGAGAACAAGCGAAATTAAGGATACGGCCCATTAATTCATGTGCTTTGGAACATGAAACGATCAGGTTAAGGAACAAATTACAGGTTACCACCGGCCACATCAAGTGCAGCCCACTGGATCGTGCTGGTTACACATCTGTAAGGCCACCCTGTCAAACCTGTGTCTCATTCTGCTGCCCTGGTGTCACAGACTGGACGTTAGCCTGGACACTGGCAAGGCGAGGTTTCCCGACAACAGCTCAGTACAGCCCAAATGCCACCGAACCCCCATTTCACCTCTCTCCCGTTGCTTTTCACCCAAACACATCAGAGGAAAAAAAAACGTCTATGACTGACTGTTGCGAAGCAGTAAATAAAACCTTGTCAGTGCTTCTTAGATGTGAAGGTGTCACATATCTAACTGGAACCAAAAGCCACATAGTTTGTGTTATCAGCACTGCTATATACAGCTCTGTGTAAGAAGGGCAGGCTTAAAATTAACAGTTGGTGTCCCTTTCATACAGCCACTTTGGGAAGGGAAGGGAGGAGCACCTCTACATGCTTGCAAAATTCTCTCTCCTTCACAAATCCACCCTCAGTTTGCGTTCAGCCGGAGCGAAGCTCAGGCTCCTTTTACCAATATGGGGGAAACAGGTAACGTGATTGAAGAAAAACCAGTACAGATGTTATGTCCAGTTTAACCGCCAAATTGACGCCAAACTTTCTCTGACCTTTCTCAGTAGGACACTCAAAGACAAGGCTGGCGGTATGGGAAGACATAACATTTTGTGCTTGCTCTTCAGCTGAGAAGCCAGTCTAATTCTGAAGGAGTTTGAAGATGGATGAACAGAACTCAATCATGTTGATAGAAGGAAGTGCAGTTTTATGATGAAAAGATTTAAGGTTATGGTTGTTTCATAGTTACCTCCAAGGCCTATTTGTCTCTCCCAAAGGTAGGACTTGCAGGTTGCAAGGCGGCCCTCAGTAAAATGTATTTTATGGCACTATTGAATTTTGCGGTGCGTAATTAGCTATAAAATCCAGCACTGCACGGCTCAGCCAGACATCTATCCCATCAATTTTGTCAATAATGACAACAACAAAAAGTCAAGAGCAGAAAGATACATCGCTGGCTATTGCTCCAGGTAGCAGTCTGAGCATGTTTTATTATTCCCTGTGAAAGGTCACCACTATTTTAAACCCTGGCAAGGCTGTTGTGTCATGGACTTTTTCACTAATCCCTCTCCCACGGCTTCCTTTGGCCTTTCCTGGTCCCACGCCTGGCAGGCTGTGCTGGCATAGAAGTCCTTCACTTCCTCTTAGGATGCTCCTCCTGGGGACGCGCTGCCCCTGGGAGGTCTGCCACATCTGCTCTCCTGCACTGCACGGGCCTCTCAGTGTGCTTTTGTCTGTCAGAGAGCGCCCAAGGGCACAGGATTGCTGTTTGATAAGGCTAAGCATACTGCTGGTACCTCACACCGATTAAATAAATCATCAGGAATGAATAACGTCAAAGATGACCGCACGCTCCGTTCAAGTTCGTGCACCCAGCTCTCCCTTTCCCTGTGGGCAGCTCCTGCCTGAAGGACTGGCCTCAGCTCTGCTTTCTCATCACAGCCTGACCTGTCTCACTCAGCTCAGGACTGCTGCTCAGGGGATGATGATCCCGATCCTCTCCTCTGAAAGCCCCACAGACCACAGCAAAGCTATGAGGCCAAGGTGATGTCTAAATCAAACTCCCTGCCTCTAGGGTACCCAGCTCCCCGTCCGTCTCAACGGGTGACCTGGGTGCTGAGTCCTGAAGGTCTCCTCTAGCTCGTGCACTCGGGATCCCTCCCTACAGAACCAAAGAGCAGGAGACAGCAGGAGAAGGAGAGAGGAAAGCTGGACTTCACCCACACGTGCGATGGGGACACATGGAGGAGGCATGTACCAAAGTTGGAGAGCTCCCAAAACCAGCTTTAAACTTTGAGGTCATCTTTTCAATTAACAGGTAGGGAAATAATTATGTTAGAGAGACCACACTATCAAATTGGTCATTCCCAGCGTTGATGCTGCAAGAAAAGGTAATTCAGTTCCACGGATGGAGATATAATCGGCTTGTCTGAATGTTTTCTACATACATTAGTCTGTGTTCCTGATGTCAGAATGATGGATGAAAACTTTCTCATGTGGGTGGGCTGCAGTTCTGATAAATAAAGTTTACAGTGGAGTTCCTGGCAAGATCTATTCATTATAGTCTCTCTAACCTGCCGTTTTTCACTCTTGCCATTCCTAACGGCTTCCCAGGAAAAGGTGTTTTCAAAACACGAAGAACTTTAATGGTAAAACGATGTTAAACGTTTGAGTTTTTTTCTTTTCTCTCTCCCTCTCCGTTCCAGTCTATACAGTCATCGCTTTTAATACTGCGTCTTTTGACTTTTGATGCTTTTTTTCTCACCCCCCCAACTCACTCTTCTAACCTGGCTATCTTTTTTCCCCCATTTCTACTCATTATCTATCTGGTGCATACACCCTTTTCCGCAGATTTAGTTCAATCTTTGAATCAAGGACAACAGCACGGACAATAGCAGGCAGAGGAATCGCCACTCGGTGGTTACTGCTCCGTGCGAGGCTCCAGGCGCTGTGCAGTGCTGCAAGGAGAGTGGGAATACAGAAACCATCAGTCAGCGGCGTCAGTTCACACTTACAGCCATGTGCAACGAGGAGCCGAGGGAAAGCTGAGGTGCTCTGGGCGTCTGTGGGAGAACAGCAATGTTGAACACGTGGGTTTCCAAGCTGTTTTGTGGACTGGCAGAGCTGGACACCTGGGAAGGAAAGACCATATGAACGGACAGCTGACAGAGGACACCATTGCATCTCTAGACCAGTGTCATACTTTCCCTCTCCTCTCTTCTTGGTCTGGGAAGGCAAAAGACACCCCTTTCCAGCAGATACCAACCCAAAGCATACACGAATGGTAGTTGATGGGAACTAAGGCCTTTAAATAGTAACCAGTTTCTCCATTATTGCCTTTACAATCTAGAAATGGTTTACTTGTTTATTAACATTTAGAAAGGTATCTGTTTGCAAATTCCCTACCTGCTATTCATTCCCGCTTCCCCCAGTCACTGCCATAGTTTTGCTGAATTGTACTCCAACTGTCTGTACAGCGTAGTGGAACTTTTCATCACAGGAACAGAAAAAATAATGGGTTTTGAAACCTTCCTCCCACCCTCAAAATGACCACCGGTTGTGCTGACAAGGTGAAAATAACTGGTCTTTTAATAATGGCACTGCCTCGGCAGTGACTCCCTGTGATTCCAGCATCTTCCAAGACGGGCTGCGCTCATGTTTCACAGAGACGCATAAAAATTTTCCATACACCGCTGTAACACTGAAGTTAAGTCAACGGTATCTAACTCATAACACCAAACCTGCAGTAATGACGCATAAAGCAAATAATATGAAATTTGTAAAAATTCAAAGGACCAACCCCATGCCCTCGAGATAAGCCTGCAAATGTTCACAGCAGTCCTGAGATAAGGCAAGAACCCAAGGAAATACAGTCCCCTTCCTTGTTGGACTCAGCTACGGCTTTATCTTTCGGTAAGGATGGGAGTCCGGACCTGAATTCAATAGAGCGCTTTGAGCAAGAACGAACTTCAGCGGAAGCTTCATTTCAGGAAAATGCATAAAAATGCACGCTCTGGCGAAATAAATGAAATTATTTTAGCCATTTGCTGGACCTGTTCTCAGTAGCTATCATCTGAGTAGCAACTGCCCAAATACTGATGAAAACAACATGTTGGCCCTTTCTGAGATGCCCGAGTCCACAGGTCCAGGCTCAGACAGATGTGGTACAGTCTCCTGATGTGACCCAGGCAATCGCGGCTCCCTTTCTCAATAGGGCTCTCCATACAATTATCGCTACCACTCCAAGACACTAAACCCACACATTTAACTCATGCAAAATGCATACTCTATAAGAGGAATGCAGCAATTAAGCTAAAGATTAGCTTGTTCAACACTGACACTCACAAATTCCTCATTATCGCTTATGTTAATTACTTTAGAAATTACCTTAATTGCCTCTCCAGTGCTACAGTAATAGCTTCTGACTTGTAAACCAGATGTAACAAATACTGCCTGCAAGTGTTCACGTAGGCTTACTATTATGGGAGGCTGTTAAACCTTCCAAGCAAACAGCAAGGACCTGTCTGAGGGATTTTACGGCCGCTAAACCTGTGGGGAGGTGGGATTTATTTTAGTATTGCATCTGCCGGGGAGTATTTGTACCTTTTTGCCTGTTTGCGAGAAGAAGTAGTCTATAGCAAAAAAATTAAATTATTAGCTTAGGGACTGCAGAAAGTAGGAGAGTCGCTTGGTTTTGGGGCTTGCAAAACAAACAATTTAAAAAAAGGCACTCGGAACACTTTGCACTTGGAGTAAATATTACAGGTTTTATGAGAGGGCGATGTGTTTGCCGTGCAGCACCAAGGGGTCAAACCTGCTGTTTCAACTGCAAACGGGGCACCAAAATGGCCAGGATATGAGCTGCAGTGCCACACCTGGCACAGGGGAGTCCTTTCACAGAGGTCGGGATCGCAGGGATGCCTTGGGAAAGTGTGGGCCAGAGAACCTCTGTATGGGTCTCCTCATACAGATTCAGCCGGAGGATCTCTAGCACAGCCAAACGTGTGGCTATCCGGACCCACCTCCCCACTTTCCCCTTGTCCTCTGGGACCAGCCTCATCTCAAAGAAGGGTGGGGGAAAGGAAGCAGCAGATTACAAGAAGGGTGTGAGCTACCCTCTTTCTTACCTGCTCTGTTATGTCTTCTAAGGATTGTCAGGCAAAAAAACCCCAACATTTCCTGTTCCTATTTCTTCCCCAAAAGCAACCCCTAGCACACGAGTAGGGTGTCCCCAGTGGACAACCTTACCCCACAGGCAAGAGGCCAGAGGAGAAGGGATCACTGTCAGAGCAAGAATTATAGAATCATGGAATGGTTTAGGTTGGAAAGGACCTTGAAGATCATCGAGTTCCAACCCCCCTGCCATAGACAGGGACACCTCCCACCAGCCCAGGTTGCCCAAGGCCACGTCCAGCCTGGCCTTGAACACCTCCAGGGATGGGGCCTCAACAACCTCTCTGGGCAACCTGTTCCAGTGCCTTACCACCCAAATCAGTCTCTGGAGACGCTGTGTCATGCTGATGGGATGTTACAAGCCTGTTTGTTTCATCCCGCGGAGTTACAAGTGAAGATCTGTCTGCCCGTTCACTCTGGGGACTCGATCTCAGAGAGCTTTCCTGCTCAGACAACCTAGCAGGGACTAGGACAACGTCATTGCTTTTCTACAAAACCCCTTCCTCCCTGAGATGGAATCATTCTACAGAAAATCAGGCCAGCTATTGGTTTAATAGATTAAACGTTAGATGCTACTTGAAAGAGAGTTTTCTCCAGATTTGCAATATGGCCCATGATTTGACATCCAGAAGGTTAATGTCATCGCATACGGCTCAACTCTGTGGGTAGCTGGCTGGCTGGCTCCACCGCCACAGATTAAAACCTTGGGACCCACATGCAGCAAAAGCTCTCTTGTGCATGAGTAAGAGTTTCCCACGAATACAACGGTGGGTCGCGTCCACCTTGACACATAAGCACATGCATATTCATCTACAGGCACGCAACATACGCCTATATACACATAAGTCTGTATGTAAATACAAATACATATTTACACACATATTTCTGTACGCATTGATGTATTCATGTAGCTGTATCTATTAAAACTTTGGGTCATAAGATACAGGGAACGGCAGATTGAGTAATCTCAGAGAAAAATGAGAGTAGAACTGCTGTGTGACCCCCACCCCTACCCAGTGAATATGATGAGGAGTACCTGGAATTGGAAGGAGTCACTCTCTACTTCAGATCCAGAGTGCCTGTACCACACAATGCCTTCGTTGATGTCCTGCTGGGTAAAAGAGGTTGTAGGTGAGGCTGCTCTTCCATCAGGCAAAAGCTGCCATGAGTCTGCTGGGCCATCTGCCAGCATTGGGACCAGAAGCACTACTTCACCTGGGAAAAGCAAAGATGAACAGCCAGGGCACAACTTGTGAGAAAACAAGGAGGAATAGATGCCTTTTCACCAACTAATGAACATCGAAGACCAATGCCGATCCAGTCTTAGTTTTTTTCCCATGTGGTGTGACTAACAGAAACAGCAGTAGAGCTCCTAAAAGCCACTAATGGACCTTGCAACATCCCACTGACATAGGGAAATTTTGTCTCCTGTTTTGGCAAAAGTCAGACCAACTATCTGGTGCAAGTACACAGAGGAAATACGCGGCCAAGCAAAGAACAGGATCTGCAACTTTAAACTCCCAAAAGGGCGTTCTGCCTGCTGACCAGCCCGTTGCAACCTTGAAATGCGCCCGTTTCATAAACTGAGCAGAAAAAAAAAAGATGTAAAGGACATGTCTCAGTTTCTGGAGCTCCTGCGAAGGGACAAGAGAGAAGTGACACAATCAGGGTTAAAAAGCATTGCAGCAGACTATCCATCTTCTCCTCAAGGGTACAACTCAAGTATCAGAATACAGCATACTAATTTTTTCAAGGTCAGTTCTTTTCTAGCTCTTTTGGGTACTTATTATGCCAAAAAGTATATTCAGCCGCCTTGTCTGAACAGAAATCTTCAACTGAAAAAGAGCTCTTGAACAGATATAGTAAAGGACCTCTGCATCACAGGCTGTATAGAAAGTCTGGTTTGCAGCTCTTACTCCAAACAGTATGTAGCTTTTCTATCTCTAACATCCAGCTTATTTCTGATTTTTGTGTTAGAAATACATTCTCAGCTGGACTGAAACACCGTTGCCTTCATTGCAGATATGAGAGAGATGAGCAGGATGGGGACACGTCCCATTGGTCATCAGCTTTCCCCACAGACGCCTCTAAGGGTTGGATTTTGATGGCGCTACTCATGTTCAACACACTTAAATCGTTCTAATGAAATTACTCAAAGAGCCAAGTGCTGCCCACCAAGAAGAGGGTACCAAAACGTTGGGCAGCAATGTCATTGATGTGAACGGTTTTCCTAACCACACACGTAAACGAAATTAAAACCTGACAAAGAGCTGTAGTATTGAAATAAATGGCATTTTTTTCTATGTTACAATGTTTTGGAGTTAACACATAATCTGTGAAAAAATTATACGTTTCCCCTATCTTTACTATTCTTGACTATATATAATTTAGCTGCTCTTTAAATAACTTGTTCGTTGTACATTGTGCTTTTCTACTAGTCTTTGAAAGTATCCCTCATGGCTACCAATTCAGAAGCCACATATATTATAAACCACTTCAACTCTCCTTACAGCATTAATCAGTCTGTTATGCAAAATACCCATCAGAAGCTCTCCCAGCTCATTTCCCAAAACCACCCTCAAACAGTTGGAGTAATAAAAAAATAATTCAGCAAGCTGAAATACCACACTTCCATTTTATCATCAAACTCTACGCTAATATTCCCTTATCAGCGCCCTAATTACGCTCCCAATCTTACGCTTTTGCTCATGGCAGTTCCCCACCTTAATCTTTCGTGTGATTTCTAAAGATGCTAATCGCATACCCAAAGGAGTTAGGGCCTGCAAGTTGTTTTTCCCTCTCAAACTAAGAGAAGAAACAGTTAGAATGTACAGCTGCTTTAAGCAAGATGCACGTCTATGTGTCTTCTTATAAATTAATATTTAACACAATCAGAAGGAAGAACTCTGTGATGTTTACTTACATAGCTTATGATTATCTCTTCATTTGAAACGTATTTTTTAAAAACAGAAAAGCATCTGTTGTTCGGTTACACACATGAATGTACAACTTGTTCACACTCAGGCAAATTATTGAAATATATGGAGACTATGCAGCTGCAATTTCCAGAGCTGTCCAGAGGATTCATTTTAAGAAGAATGGACACTTGTATCGCTTTTCATTGCCTTTAGAAATTTCATCCTCTAAGAACGTATGTCCCATGGAGCAGCTTAGGGCATAACAATACCCTACTTGTATAGAAGCGAGTATTTTTGCCACGTAACAGAGCTGTGTTGAGGCATCCTGTATGCCGGGAGGAGAGTCAGGTAAGAGACTGGTCCTATTTCTAGGGACAAAACAGGAGGTCCAGCATAAAGACGTCCTTAGAACGATGGACTGCTCTCCGGTGCCCGATCGCACGGAATCAAATCAAGCCCTGCAGAAGAAGGGGATCTGGACAGAGATCCTCCTTCTCAAATTACATCCCTTTTGTTTGGTTTCAGAATCTTGAAATAAAGGGCAAGAAGCTGTCTTGGTCCATGCACTTGTGCTACAGAAATGCAGCAGATTATTCTAATGTGGTTTTCTTTCCTTTCTAAAAATCAAATGATCTATTTTCTACAGGTATGAATATCTTTTCCATTACTCAAATACTAAGATAGGCAGATAAGCCCACCTTGATTAAAGACACATTTTCTACATTTCTCCGTCTTATTTTTTTCCTCCCTTTCCATGAAATAGTATTTTAGATAAAATGTTCGAAGTTCATTGATTTCTACTGCTTATTCCTCACCTGCAGCTAGAAAGCCATTTGTGTTACTGCAATTAATTACAGTAGAGATAATTACGGTGATACAAATACAGGATTATAGATTTCGGTTAGTGTTAGGCAGCAGGAGACAAGCTCCTCAGGGAAAAATTCTTGTTTTCATGTAAATGCTTATTAAAAATGAGAAGACACTCCTTCATTTGCAGAAAACTAAAGGGGGAATACAAATTAATTACTTCTCTTCTAAATTGCAAAAATAGCGTAATCTATGTTTCCATCAGGTTTTGGCAGCTGTTATGGAAACCAGCCTATCCTTACAGCAAAAGGCAAAAAACCAGCACTGATGTTGCTAAAGGGATCCTCTAATTTTGTCCGGCTCAGACACTGAAAGGAATGATATTAATTCATAGAAGTGCAAAATATATTATTTAAAGACATGGTTCTAGTGAAGAAAAAGGTGATGCTGAGCGGGAAACTAACCTACGTCTTTTCTGTCCATATTTCTTTCCCCTCCACATATGATGTCCTCTCTTTTCTATCCAGTTTCTCTCAGTTTGTATCTCAGCCACAAATCCCAGTACCTTCCACAATCCTCCTTGGCCTGGGTCCTGCAGTCCTACCCACGAGTTGCTTGTGAAAGGCGTTACTCTGAGAGGTGAGATCAGAGCCTCTCAAAAGGAATTTGGAGACAAGAATTATATATGGATGCAAATGTCACCAATTCCTGTTTGAGTCAATAACGCCTTCCATTAGTAGAAATTAAATCAAATGTCATGGAATTTAGGGAGTTCTTCAATTCCTCATGGTAAACTTTGGCTCAGCAGTTTCTAGAGGTAGATATTACTCTATGCTGCTCTTAAACCAGACCTTCATTGTAGAATATTATCTTTTGGCAATGAGCAAGAATCTGCTCTCACAAGGCTGTAAATCCACCAGAATTTAGCTACGACTAAGGAAACACAGTTTCAGAAGTTCAGATTACTAGGCAGGACAACAGTGCTTCATTACTTTGCATGCCCATTCGAACTGGAAAAAGATGATGTGAGCAGCACTTATTCAGCATAGTATTATAAGGAAATATTCCTTCAAATGCTGTTTGTTGTGGGCAAAATACCATGGAAGAATCATATTCCCATAGGTCTGTGAAGAACACCCTTTTCCCCAGAAGAAACCAGAACCTTGCACTTTTATTTAATGGATGGACACCTCGAGGCATGGGGGGTGAAAAGCAACGCCTCGCAGCTGTTTTTTTGACGACAAAACATCCAAAGATATTTACCGTGTCTTGGCTGGTCCTTGATGATGGTGTAAGTTATCTCGGAATCAAGGGCACCGGGTAGCTCAGCGTGCAGAATTGTCTTGGAGATCTGTAGCATGCCTCCCTGGGGCACCCAGACCAGGGAATTTGTCACCAGCTGAGGACTTCTGTCATTCTGCATGCAGAGGGACAGCAGAAAATGGCTTAACTGAATATCAGCAACGCTGCACTGATGGAAACAGATTTTCAAGTGAAAAGGATCCAGCAGAGTATTTGGGAATTTCTTATGCGTTCAACGCTGGTTGTCTGCTTCAAGAAATGGTTGTGCATCCTTCACCTGTATCCCTCGGACGCAATTCTCACCCTGTAGAACTGACCTTGTCCTCCAATGTTTCTAATTTCCTATTGCTGACTCGAAAACTTCTTGACCTCAATCTCCCTCCATAATTTTGTCTTTTACCATCATCCTCATTCTCTCTCCACTTGACTTTTGACATGACTTGACAGAACTGATCTCCACAGCACAGTGGAAAATTCACTGCTATCAGCATCTGAAAAAAGTATCCAGTCTACTACACTAGTTTGATTGGATCCACGTTTTCTCTCACGTCTCTTAATTTTCATTCTAAAAATACACACTATTCAAGGGTACTTACAGAACAAGAGCTTCTTAACCATTCAAAACTATCTAGATGGCATTTTATTTCTAAAAATACACAGCTTTCAAAGGTACTTGCAGAACAACAGCTTCTTACCCATTCAAAACTATGCGGCACCTCCACTAGCTTTACACAGATCTGTAACTGTTCTCACCTCTTCATGAGCAAACCCAGGTTCAAGACCAACCTCATGCTTTCCTACAAGTTGGGGGAAAATTGAACTAATGAAGAATTTTGGCAGAAACATAAACTATGGCAGTTTTCCATCCTTTGCTTGAACAGAAGCAGTTTAACATTCACGGGACTGACACCCACGGTCAAGTCATCTCTTCACCACTTTTGTAAAATTGAAGCCTGCCCGAGCATCCATCAAAGTCCTTTGCTACTTTGGTGGGTTTTCTAACCTTCAAATTATTCCTGTGGCTTTTTTCCCACATGAATATTTATCCAATAGTCATTCAAGCTTCTTGAAATGTGGATGCAGTAATGGTTTCACTACCATTTTCATATACTTCAGTAACACTACTCTGGCATTCAAGGATTATATTAGCCCTTTTGGGCTCCAAATTACTTTGTTAGCTCATGCTCTGTTGGACACGGCCACCAAAATCCCCGTGACCTCTTCTGTGCCATGGTTCTTTCTTATCAACCCAGTTGCTGTAAACGTGACTTCTCTTCTTGATTTCTGCAGATTCACCTTGAAACTGGCTGTGGTGAACTGCATAATCAATCAAAATCCTGACTGCTCCCTATAAGCGGTCATCTTCCTCCTCATTTACTATTCCACATTATCATGTGTCCCCCCCCAAAACTGATAAACAACTCACGTTCTTCTGAATCTGCAACAGAGACAGCAGAGAGAGCTAAAAAGATGTTTGTGAAAAAGAATCACATTAAAGGACGATTTCCCACCTCCATTTTAACACATCTGCTGAGCAACTTTCACCCCTTTAATTTGTACGGCACTTATTTTGCACAGTGTTAATTTTTAAATGCCGTGTGATTTTAGACTATGTCAGGTCAAGAGTTTCCCAGCACAATGGTTGCTTTATTTTTTTAAAGAATAGTAAAGAAGAAAAGCAGACCCTGTGCCAGCCAAGAGAACCCTGCGTGTATACATATATGATAACTCACCTCTGACCTTACTGATTCGACCACATCATGACATGTATAGGCCTAGCAAAGTATAACTCTCGACCAGGAAACAAACTAAAAAGGTCAGAAAGGTTTTATTGTGTAAGGAGAGAAAAGAGAGACCAGCCACACTTCAGAGAATAACAGGCAAAAAGCACTGTTTGAAAATCAAATATTTTTAAGTGAATGCTAATGAAATACAAGGTTGTGGCTTTGCCATAAACATGGAACCCTTCGGTTTTTCGGTAACTAAATGACTGAATGTTCCTTCGCTGGCCACATTAAACCAGTTCGGCATTTTGTAATATCATTTCCACCTGGCTTTGATGCTGCGATCCCGCTTGTTAATAAGAACACCCTTTTTGCTTGGTCATCTTTAAAAAAACATATTTAGCGACAAGCTATCATCTCATCTGAGTGCTCACCCTGCGTTCAGCAAACCAGCTAGAATCACAGTAGTTTTTTTCTTTTTTTACTGATAGCTGAGCATGATAACAGTGGGAATAAATTGACAGCACAGGAAAAGTGCTTTCAGATAGCTCGGGGAGGCTAACACGCTCCCCGGTCCACGCTTCAGCTACCTGCTCCCAGGTAGGGCACTGCCTTGCAAATATCTCGGAGACCTCCCTTAGCTGGATGTCCTCTAGAGGTCCGATGCACCCCTAAAATAAACATCTTTTGTCTTTCTCCTACATTTCCCCCACGCCTCTCAGGTAAGAAAGGATTCCATATCCCGTCAGCGATGGGCACATCACACGTGGGTAGGTCTGACCTCCTCTGACTTACAGTACATAGCCTGCGATCCTGTTTTCTAGGGCATGGGCTCCTTATTCCCCATTGGAGCACCACTGGTGGTGCTCTGCCAAAAACGAAGCACCAGCAGGTCTCAAATTAACTTCTCAGAAGCTATAATTGTTAGAGAACATCAACAAAAATATTCAGCAGCCCAAATCGTTATTAAGAGCTCTCAAAATAGAGGCCAGCTGTTCAGACTGCAGTAGGTCAATCCAAGTGTTTGGACGGGGGCAAAGAGGGAAAAGCAGGCTGTTAGCAACCAAAGGGACTAAAAAAGGCACCTGGCAGCAAACTAGGCATACCTGTTGTGAAGAAATAAAACCCTCTAATTCATAATAATTGGGAAGTTATGTTGTCCTTCATTTATGTTTTCACACAGCGCTCCTACGGATTAATGTCTGAGAATTATACTGTCTGAGCCCATTGAATAGCAAACCTAGGAACGGCCTTTCGCACCAGGACTTTCTATATAAAACCATCCAGCAGCACGTTACAACAAGCTCTGTGTACTCAGATAAGTTACGTGGTTAAAAAACCACACCTTCAACTCCCACACCTCCAGCCAGGGTCCTACCAGGCTCTTTAGCCACCTTTGGATGCACACCAAGGCAAAAAACCCAAGCGTCTTTGGGTGTGTGCCTCAACAGCACCCTTTCAGAAGCAAACCCTGCACGCATTTCGGCTCCCAAGGCTACTCCACAAAGACAGTAATTAGGGTGAGGCAGGAGCCGGGTATCTGCCAGCTATACCCTCGCTCTGCTCTCACCTCTGTCCCCACCTTCATTCTTCTCTGTAGCCAAGTGCTGCACAGAGACACTTGGAAAGCTAACGAGAGACCAGGGAGCGCAAAATTGGCCAATAAAGGAAACTGTTCTCAGCAATTCACCCTCAAGAACCTGCTTAATCAATAGGAAAAAAAAAAAAAAAGTGTTACAAACAACACAGAGTGGTGTCCAAGCACTTTTACAGTCCTTCTGATGTTACACAGGCTCCTTAGGGCCACGTAAGTGATCTGGGTAAAGAAACCACAGGCAGGGCTGCTTTTATTCCAGGAGTCTAATAACTCAGCACCAGCCTTGAAAGCAACTCCTTTTTTCATTCCCAGACTGATGTGTGAGTCATGCCACTAATTATCATTAATTACTACCGCAGCTTTAAGAGCACCCGCAGGGTCCAAATGGGATCAGTCCCTCCTTGTGCTAACTACAGAGACGCACGTAGCGCATGTAAACCTTACTTAAAATTTTCATGCCCAACTTGCTGTGAAAGGCATCTAATACAGCAGAGACGAGGACAAAAGAGGGATAATATCATCTGCTCCTAACTCCATTTCACAGAGTGGAAGCACTCAGAGATTGCGTAATTCTCAGATCCATACACAAAAAGACTGCAAACAGTGGACTTCTTCTCTGGCAGCTCTATTTTTCATTCCTCTTTCACATTAACTAAGGGATAAGGAAATTTTCAGCTTTTTTTCCCCTTCTGTTTTATTACAATACCAGAATACCAGAACTGAAACGCTTGGAAGCACTTCAGCAACCTGATTTTTTCCAAGGCTCCACGACACATACGGTACATGTTTCAGGCCTTGTTTGGCTGGGGCTTATTTTATAAACAAATGGAAAAGCACCACTGTTTCTAATTTTACTGCTGTAACCTCTATAAGATTTAATATGAAGTGCCACTTCATGTCCGAATGCGGAAGAAACAAACGACCATTGCTTAATTATGAGCTGCAATAAAAGCAAGAAACAAAAGTTAAAATACTTCCTAGTAATTTCTGAATTTAGGTATCCGTGCCCTGTCCTTCGGGAAGTTACCAAAGAGAAAGATGCATCAAGCAAAAGATTTCCGTGCAGCAACGCTGAGTGAAGAGCAGGAGACACCACCACCCCCCCGCAGTACCAGCGATACACCTTATCAGCCAAGTTGTTTGGTTCGTGTGTGGTCATTTTGTGTCTCCCATCATGCTCCCATCAGCCCAGTGACTGGTTTGCCTATCTCATCAGCCCTCTCTCCACCATCCACTCATTCTCTAATTCATCGCCCTTGCCAGCGCAAAACTCTCCCCTGCAACTCCAGAAAATCTTTTTATCAAGTAACCATGGACTTTGAATTGTCAAAGCTGCACAATTTGAGCTGAACCATTCCTGTCGCAAACCGAATATTCAGGTCACCTCCAAAACTCAATCAACCCACTGCTTTCTCCTGTCTCTCACCGCAGCCTGACGGTAATACAGGATTAGTGACACCTCAGGGACACAGTGATACTTTCCCAGACTTCTAATATGCCCGCGAGGGTTTATGCCACAGCAGGTACCTTGGGAGCAATCTTAATGCGGAACAGGATGTTCTGGAAGTGGTACCCGTCATTCACTTGCAGAAGAATTGCATCATCCCGAGTGTCAGAGCCGTCGTGAGCGTAACGCAGCAGTCCGTTGGCAAGGTCATCCAGCTGGAATATGTGGACTGCAGAAGCCGAGTTCCCAGGAGTTTTGATCAGCCGCCCGTGATGTGGAGGCTCTAAAACCATCAGCACAACGTCCTGAGGATTGTCACTGTCTCTCACACCAAGCAACAGTTCTGTTATAGTTCCAATTTTCCCTTTGTGGACAAGGAGGGCCTCATTTCTGAACACATACGGCGCCTGAAACACAAAAGCAGCCCTTAGGTGTTTGCTAAACCTTAGCAATTTGATCATGATCACAGTCTGGAATGGAAAACGTGGAAGCAGCAGAGAATCACTCTCCACATTTCCCCCTCAGCAGGCAGATCTAAGAATATCTAACAATTTAGATCGACTTAGTTACATTAAAATAAGATTCTCATACCACACCAAGCTTAGGAGAGGAAAAAAACTTAAGACATTATACGGGAAGCAATTTAGGTATCATCTAGAGCCTGTATTCCCTTTGCTGTCTTCATGGATGAGAGACAAGGGACACAACTTTGTCGTATTACCAACCATGGAAATGCAAATGGAAACACAGATCCCAACCATTTTGGGAGGTGTACATGTTACAGGCATGTCCGCAGGCACCTCAGATGCTGTGAAGATTTGTGTCTGTGAAGAATGAGTGCAGGGTGGGTTGGGGATGGAGACACACCACATTCTCCCTGTGTATAAGCTACAGCTTCAATAACATAAGACATCTTTCACAGCACTGGCGCTTGAGAATAAGACCCCAGACAACCTGCGTGCCCAGGTTATCTGTTTAAAATGAGTCGCAGAGAGGGAAAAAAAAGGAAGCAAGGAAAAAAGCCAGGAGAGGGAGAATAACCTGCACAGGATACTAAGAGTAGTGAGTCAGACTGAGAGGCAGAAGCTTGAATTAATGTTTCTAAGTAGAAATGAGTCCATCAACTAACACTGAAGGATGTGCTTTTGCTTGTCTGGAACTGATAAAGTCCACCTCAAAGACAGGAAAACTGGGTGTTGTCAGCATCCTTATTTATTTATTTTCAAAGACTCCACACAGCCCTATTCATCCTAGAATGAAGATCAGCTAGAGTCCACATTTCTGCTGGTTTAAATTAGTTCCCTAGTTCTTTGTCATCAAGAAAGTTTAAATCTGCAGTCTCTATTGATCCCAATAAACATCATTTTGTATCAGTAATACCCTGCCTCGGGAGGGGGGTGATCCCGCAAAGTCAAAGCCCTGGGAACATTCAGCAGAGAGCAAACTGCTGCTGCCATCTCACCTGCGTACAACTTATCAGGGTTATTAAGCATTGGCAGGCAAAATTCCTATTATTAAACCTCACTTATGTATTCTGCAGCAGTGACTGCAGCTCTTACTTGGGTCAATGTCCCACCGAGGTAAACAAGAGATTAAACTAAGCAAAGATTTCAGCACCAGCCAGAATCAATAGACGCACAACAGGATCAAAATCCACAGTTTTGCTTACACTAAAGGACAAACTAGAACACGTCTAATTCCCAGAAGTTATGGCATGACTAATATGGAATACAATGATTAAAAGCAACAAAGCGCAATTAAAAAAAATTGTATTTCCTACCCCTGAAGCTACCACATCTCTAGGACCCCGCACCAGAAAAAAACCAAGCAGTGCAAAGTCTCAAGACAGTCAGAGAATCACAGAAATCTTGCATCTCAGGAGGAGTTGTTTCCTATAGGGAACACGACATCTATTAAATCGGAGACCCCTCCGCAGGCCCCCAGCATGGTATTGTAGCGAGCAAGTCAGCAGCTCACCATGTTTTTGAGCTGCTGACTACACTCCTAGGCTCGGCACGAAGCACAGAAGAGCACCAGCACCTTCAGACACAAACCCATCCACCACTGCAATGATTAAAAGAAATTAATTTCTTAAATTACTCGTTGTGAGGATGGGCGCTGAGTCAGGCTTGTAGGCAGGAAGGAGTCAGCACTAAAAGAGAAAGGATAATAGCCAGATTTCCAGTTAGTTTTATCAAGCCATATAAATGCCCCTCTGAGGATGTAAATGGGCCTTAAGAGCAGCAGACTCTCATTTGCACTTTAAAGTCTCTTCACACTGCTAGAATATGCCAAGTAGCCACAACAACTTCCCCTCAAGCAAAGCTATCTGATGGAGCTTTCAACTAGACAGTTTGACTACAGAAAAAGCTCAGTGCAAGCTGCAAAGCCTCCTTGGAAACCTGGACCCCATTCAAGTGAGTCCATGGTGAACTCGCTGCCAGCATGACCAGCCGGGCTTGAACGACTCCTTTTCGTAACGCTGTGCCCTCTCCCTTAATGTGTATCTTCATACCTCGCCGTTTAGAGAGTCTACCCTCAGAAAAGGAGTCACAGACTGTACACCGTCCCTTTGGTGAGGCCCCTCCACGATATCACGCTACAGTCTTTAAATAACAATACTATGAGAGACACGGACAGTTGACAGTACCGTCAACTTGCCTAAAAGCGGTGAGCAGTTTAAGAGACACACTTTAAATAGCTCATGCTGATTTAATTCCCAACTGCCCTAGAACAGAGCATTTAAGTAAATGCTCTTGACTGTCAAAGCTTCCCTACCATAGGGATCAATCATTGTTCAATTGCAGTAAGAGACTGAACCAGACCATCCGCGGAGCCAAAGAATAATCTAAACAGTAGGGACTCCTTAGCCCTCGCTGATAATTGCTCTATGATTGCACAGCTACAGTTCCCCACGCGAGTAAAACTACACGGGACAGCTTCTTCAATCACTTACCCCAAGTCCAGTTCTTCCATATGACTCTTGGCTGCCTCTCAACAAGTGAGAGTTGAGTCTAATTTGCCTGACCTAAACTCCAGCTCAAGTTCTGCCCAGCTCCTTTGTTATCACTGCAAGAAACCAGGGCTCTAAACGGTACAAACTTTGTGGTTGTTTCCAAGCTTGGTTACTTTACCTGTGTTGAAAACGCTTGAATGTTGACCACCTCAGGATGGGAGAAGAACTGTTGATCGCTGACCTTCAAGGAAAACTGTCCTTTCCTAAACAAGTCCCCATCAAGCCAAAATATAGGATAATATAAATTAATGAAGTGCTCTTGCAGGATTCGATAATGATAACAATATTATATATTCAGTAGAAATGACTAGCTTAGTGACAGAAGCTTTAGCTCAAGTTTTTTCAATTATGTTTTTTATAGTATTTTTTCTGAAGATTCACAGCAGTCACAGCACGTAATAAAACACCTTTAACTATGTAATACTATACCCTCATTTCCCTTTAACTAATGTTACCCACATAGGATGGCATCTCCAAGATAAAGTAGCGATTCTAAATGTCAGCTATTCGCTGCTAAAGAAAAATGTCACTTATCTGGCTTCGGAACAGCAGCTCTCACTTTTCAGCATTTTTGCTTCCTATTTACTTTTCAATAGTGCCACACAATAACCTTGAACATAAAGTAGCTGTGTTTCTCACGACAAGATCCTGACATTTCTCTGTGACTACCAGGCAGACAAAAAAAAGGGCATGATAGAGAAACACGTTCCTTAAGCCTAGTGAACATGAGCTAACCCTTGGTATCAGAAGGATACCCTGAAAGTCTCACTGAGAACAATGAACACCCTAATATACACAGGCAGAAATTTAAAACAATTCCAGTGATATCATTCTAGTCCCAAGGCTTTACGGTGATGTAAATCGAGTGTGCAATTTGGCAGGATGACTGGGTTATTGCCTGGCAGCAGAAAAAAATGTGCTTCCTTGAGACATGCTTGCAGTGTGAGCATTGCCAGCTACTAATCACTGCTAATTACCCCAGGATACTAACAGAGCTCATATTGCAGATGAAGAAGTAATGGCTGAATGCAGATTATGCCACAAAGCATAGTGGTGACATCGTTTGAGCATCTTCCTGTCAGTATCAAGAAATTGCTGTAAGAACCAGAGTAATATGCCGGTTTTAAATCCGCAGCAGAGTATCCTAAAGATGAGACAGACTCCTGCACCCCCAAAAGCACAACACATTTGGTATCCAGATCACAGTGACCTCTTACACCAGAAAGAGAGTTCTGCACCATCATTTATACTATGGCACAGCATAAGTACATTGGTAATTTATTTAAGAGCAGTGAGGAGTGTGCTTAACTCTGTTTCCAAGGAACAAGGAAATCTGTGTTCTCTACAGGAACCTGAAAGGAGGTTGTAGTGAGGTGGGTGTCTCTCCTCACAAGTACTAAGTGATAGGACAAGAGGAAATGGCCTCAAGTTATGCCAGGGGAGGTTTAGATTGCGTATTAGGAAAAATTTCTTCACTGAAAGGGTTGTCAAGCATTAGAATGGGCTGCCCAGAGAAGTGCTTGAGTCACCATCCCTGGAGGTATTTAAAAGATGGGCAGACGTGCTGAGGGACGTGGTTTAGTGGCGGGCTTTGGAACCGGTAGGTCAGTGGTTAGATCTGACGATCGTAAAGGTCTTTTCCAATCTAAACAATTCTATGATTTTTTTTTTTAAGGCCAGAGCCAATTTTTTTTTAAGGCCAGAGCTCTGAGAAAAGTTTCAACACAGTCACCTGGATTTCTCTTCGCTGTGCACAAAGCGGACTCTCTTCTCCTTCACATCCCTGTAGCTGAAGTGGTCGCCTTTGCTCAGCAGCTCCTCTTTCCCGTTCACCACCATCACTAGCCTGCCGTTGGAGGGAGTGCTGTCGATACCGAACAAGAGCTGTCCTGTGTCACCATCCAGATCATGCACACCTAGTAAGGAGAGGTCTAGGGGCTTTACCCCACCAATTCCTACTGTGAGGGTACTGTTCACGTGGAATCTCGAGGGATGCTTGCTGGCTAAAAAGAAAGAAGGGAACTTAATTCATTCATTACTGAATGAATTACAGCCGTGGGCTGTGTTAGCATCTTGCCTGTCACTACCATCTTTTGGTTAACAGACCAGACCCTTAGAATGCCCTGTTCATTACTGACCTAGGTGGACAACCGCCATCTCAAGAAGAAATGCAATCCATCCCAACCCCCACTATGATTTTGAGAGGCTTGGGAAAGTCACTTCCCATCTTGAGTTCCACATCACAAAACTCAAAGCCAACATACACTGGCCTGCACTGCAGATGGACTACTAAATCTTCATTTAGAACAAAGAAAAGATAAGTAAGCACTACCATTGATTTAGTAAGGGATTTCCACCAAGATATTTTTTCATTTGTTTTACACTGATGATAAATGATGCTGTGATTGGCAAACTGTGCTTCTATACCTAACTAGTAACTTCACTTAGAAAACCATGTACGTGCACGTTTTAGGAAAAAAAAAAAAGTTGGAGAAAAATAGCTACCGACTTTTAACAGTTAACACAAAACTCCACAAAACTGAATTCTGAAAATGCCACTGAATGATCACTACTTCTGGCTGTAAAATCTGCTGAAAGTCTGCCAGCTCTGTTGCTTTATCATGAGAGACACTCACCTTCTTCACACTCCCTGGTCCATGTATTGCCATAGAAACCCTGGCCACAGGCAGAAACACAAATCTTATTCTTCAGAAACGTGGTGCTGTCACAGAGGTGGCACAGGCTGTCACTGTCACACTCCAGGCATCCAGGAGGACAAGCTGAATCGGATGGAGAGCACAACCCCATTGAGACACTGCAAAAACAATGCAGCCACTGGTGCACAGGGCTGTCCCCCGGGCTGAGAACAGAAACACCACTGCTATTTGTGTCTCACCTACCTGACAAAAACAATCAAAAAGAAGGGGCAAAGAGCTGAGATAAAGGAGTTATTAAGAAGTTCCTTCCTCATTTGACCACTGTTTCCCATTGACTACAGAGAACCTCAGATGATCTTCCGAATGGAACTAACTATTACACCAATTTGAAGGTACTCCAAACACACATTCAAGTACTACACAGCTTGTTAACCCACAAATGCAACGGAAACCTTTCTAAAAATGTGGGTTTAATACTTGTTTTTCTATATACAGTGTGTACACACATACGCACGCACGAGCGCCATCTCCACTGAATCTCATTCCTCCTGAATTAGGCACGTCTAAATGCAGATACAGCCTGTTATCTAATTCTCAGGTGACCGCATCACCTCAACAGCAAGTTTAGCACAGCATCCCAGCGCTTCCTCTTCACCTCAGCCTTGCAGAGAAAAAGCAGTCGTATAGAGAACACAGACCACAACCCTGGTCCCTCTCCACCACATCACGCTCACTTTGCTTACCTGAGCACTTGCGCTGCGCACGGTCCGCGTAATATCGCTTCCCACATTTGTGAACACAATGAGCGTCCAAGAGGAAAAACGGGGCTTCACAAAGGCTGCACTCATCTGGTTGGCGACATTGAAGGCAGTGTTGATCGCATCCTAAAAGTCATACATAAAGAGTTCAGCTCAATACGGCTTTCAGCTCCTTCCTGCCCCGTGCTCTAACACCTCGCAGGAACCACAGCTCTACAGCGTGTGCGTGCTGGAGGGCAGCGAGAGATCTGAAGCTAGAGTGTGCCTTCTGAATGCAAGACGTGCACAAATTGGAAGAGCACGTTGGCAGCAGTGATTAGAAGTAACGCTCAAGAAGAACTCACGCTGGCAAGTGTCTGATTCCTTGTAGAAAGCTGCAGGGCACTGTTCCACACAAGCTCCTTCGTGGAGAACGTAGCCCTCCATACACTGCAGGCAGTCGGTCCTCTGGGGACCTTTACAAGCGTTACAGCTCCAGTCGCACTCTGGAAGACAAAAAAATCAATGCAGGGCAGCCCTTTGTGAGGTGCTCACCCTATACAAGTGCTGAGCACTTGGGTCTACAAGCTATGGGGATATAAGCCCTATGAACAAAGAGAACAGTAAAAAAATGTTAAAGAGAGAATAAAAAATGAAGAAAGCATGATTTGTACCGAGTGTTTTATTACAACTCAAGATACAGGTGGGGTTTTTTCCCCTCTTGGACTTAACGTGTTCTAACTATGTCAAATTTAAGCAGGCTTGGCTCTTGTTCAGCATTCAGACCTGCTAACACCGCCACAGTTTTGTTGCCCATAAAGCCTCACTTTATCCCGTAAGCAGCAACGCTCCTTTTCTGCCAACACTGAGTTTGTTGCTCGTTAGCAGTTATCCACCCTGCTTCATCAATCTCACGCTTTCAAATGACTCTGACCAAAAGCAAACAAAACCGTCATCCCTCGTAGTCCAAATGCCCCTCTGCAAAGTCCACTGGCCGGAAACACGCTGGATCCAGCTGGGACCAGATCTGCCTTCACACGCCCTTGTACTATCTCCCCTCCAGTCTTCAGCAGAGTCCAAACCATGCACACGTGCCCAAGGACTGTTCAGGCTGCCAACACTACTGTTTGTTTCTTGGTGGCACTTAAAGGGTCTGTATCAGCAATTAATGACAGACACATTTGGTTGATGAGACAGACAAACAGGCAAGAGCAAGACGGGGGGAACCAAGGACTCACTGAAGTGAGCTGAACTACTCCAGTCCATGCAGCGTGTCCCAGACGAAGCCAGGACAAGAATCCTGCCTCACTGCAACACCCTAAACGCCAAACAATATCACCTCTCTGAAGAACCGCAATGTTAAGCGGACAGACGCTACTCAGTGAAGTTAGGTTCACTAAGAGAGCCAGCTGGAAATGAACACTGAACAACCAGTAATTTGTATTATATCCTGGTCTTAGCGGTGTTAGCTGCAATAAAGCCACGTTATCCTCACTTATTTCCATTATGGAACCCTCTCCTTGGGAGTTCTGGGTATCTTTCAAGCCATGCGTCTTTTAAATCACTCCAAACTGTTGTTTCTGCAGTCATCCAGTGATGCAGTATTTAATAAGACAGAGAGAAGCAGGTAAGTACACAAGGCCCTATAAGCACTCTAAAAAAGATTTTGCCTGGTAAGCTCGCTCGTTATTCAGCTGACCCATGACTAAATGAATTGCTGGACCTGACCCTCGAAAAGTTTGCTGGCTCACTTACTAAATCATTTACAAGAGAAGGATTTGCAATAATCTTGTTTCACTGAAAGGCTGAAGTATGTGACAGCAAACTGCCGAAAAAGAGAAAAAACTGTAAAAGCCTCGCAAGTAGTCTGTCACCAAATGACTCTCTTTCTCCCACACTTTTTAAAACAGGCCATCTGCACACATCATGCTGCAATGTAACCGATTCTGAGCCAAGGCACTTGCAATTTTTTTTTTTCTTCCCCTTTTTTCCTTAAGCCAACAACGTATTTTTCACCTCTGCAAGTCTTGCTGGAAAAATCCAGATAATATTGCTGAGCGCAGCTCTCGTACTGGCATTCTCCAAACAACAGGACCTTAGCTGGATCTCTGCAAGACGTACAGCCGGCAGCTGATTCACAGCTCAGGCACTGCCTGTTGCAAGCTATGGAAAGACAAAGAAAATAACTGTAATTACTGACGCACCAGCCAACCGTACAAGTAAAAATGGTATTATCCCGTAAGCCTCGTTACTCCTCTTCTCCTCTTTGACAGACACCTGTGGAGACTTCAGAGTTTTTGCTTCTTATGTTCCTTTTCACGGCCTCCAAAACATAAAAAAACCTCCTTCCATTTAGAATAGACTGTTATGTCTCCTCACACTGCTTCTTACACTCCTCTTGAGAGGTCAGGGTAAAACATTGACCTTGAATTCAAATCCCCAAATAAGAGCTTTCCCTGCCTCTGTTTTTCGTATTTTCTTTAGGTAACCTGTGTTTCATGCGATTCCAGACTTATAAATGCACAAATTTGGAGAAGATAATAGACTGCTGCAATCCAGTGAGCAAAACCTTGGTGGGACCAAAGGCCCGTTTAATTTCACTTAATGTTTCCACCTTTTCATTTGCACACAGCGTGACATTTTGGAGCTGCAGGGAGCAAATAAAGCTGCCAGGGAAAAAGAATTCAGGGATTTACTGAATCTAGGATCAAAGTCCAGAGGTCCAGAATATTTCAACTCACCTCTTTGATGTCCAGGGTCTGAACTTCTCAGGAGGCTGTACTAACAGCCAAGCGTACCCAGTGGTGATGTCAGAGCTCTTAGTTGATTCACAGCAGAAGATATAATAGCAATGTGCTATGAAAGGTCGAAAAAGATTTCCTAGCCCTTTGCTTGTGCACTGAAAACCTCCCTCTAATTTCAGTGAGATGAAATTTTATAAAAATAATATGCAGGAAACTCATGGAAGTCCATATGTCTAATTGATACAGACAATGGTAACTGCCCTGCGAGCAAGTACAATGACGGTGTATGCAAAAGGGACCGCTAAATTCCTGGCCAACTACCCCTGCGCGTCGCTAAATCCATACAGAGTCAGAATCTTTGGCCAAGCTCATTTCTCCACTTATGATAAATCAGAAAAAGCTCTGAAAACACAGGCCCAAGTGTTTAAACTAAAGAATAAAGCATAGCTGGCCATTTTTAATGGTAAAAACAAACAAAATCTCTCATAGGATTTAGCGCAACTACAGTTCAGGCGCTAAATACTGACATTACTTGCAGTAACATGTCGGTGACATGTTAATTGTAGAATACTAATTTGGTGATATGTCAATTGTGGAAATGCACTTCGATTTGCTTCTAATTCAAGACAGAGTTTTACATCCACAAAACCTCAAAATACCAAAGTAAATGTGAAAATACCCACGTTGCTCTCATTGAAGCGAGAGCCCAGTGTCCTTCAAAATAGTTACTTGTTCTAGCTTATCTAAAAAATGTCACAGAAGGTCTGTATTTTACTGAGGTACAAATGATTTCTAATAAAATGTTTACCTAAAGAATATAGTAGCTGGTTTTACGTGCTCTGGTGAAAGTCTGATTTCAATTAACTTAAGAATACTACGTGGAAAAAATGTACGCTTACTATTTGTAAGCGCCACAAAAAGCCAACTATTAAAAGTATGATAAAACACTCCACATGAGCTCTAAATCTATAGAAATCGGGTTACCCATGGAGGCACGCCAGAACAGTAAGCAAAAACTGTATTTGAAAGTGATCCTGTCGGCTTGTTTTATCAGCATGAATCCATATCTGCATTTTTAAACCCATGGAGAACTTGCTAAGCTTTGCATTGTTCCTTGGCCAGTGTGTTGTTGAGCTTAAAAATATCCCTGAGAGTCCATACATGCACTCAGCACCTCTCTGAACTCCATTCCAAACCCGAGTTCCTCAAAAGTGCAATGCGACTAAAATAAAACATTGAAGAGAGACCGAATTTTCTCAGCCTAACAGCCAACCTCCGTTTAAACAATTTTCATTACCTCTAAGTGGTAGTTTTCCAGCAGCCCGGGACAGTTTATATCTACATGGCTTATCAGCAGTACTTCACTTGAAAAGGCACAAGTGACACTTGGAATGACAAAAATCCAATGCACCAACACACTTTGCCTTGAGCCTCCTGCCACAAGGATTACACACACTTCTTAAAAAGCCAATTGCAATAAGGAGATTAAAGTAGTTGAATTTGCTTGCGAAAATCTATTTGCATTTGAGCTACTGAACCAAATTCAGGAAGGGTACAGTCCTCAGGAACATTCCACTTCTACCATGATGTCCTGAGGGAGAAGCTATCAATAGGAAAGTTTTCATTAGAAAAAGGCATTTTAATTAGGAAGAGAGGTATTCTGGTGTAGTTAGCAATAAGAGAATCCCTACTGCAGGAGAGAACAGTGAATATCTTGTACAGCTTGTACGAAACTAGCCATGGCAGTGAGAATCCCATGATTCCTTTTTTTTTTTATTAATCTTTTTTATTACCTTCCTTTTTCCATTATTATGGAATAGCCTTTTTTTTTTTTTTCTGTCAACGGAAGATTGGTACAAAGTCTTCCACCTATTTCCTTGAACTTATGCAAGGTGTCTCAATTTCTACTGATAAGATGGAAATAATAGTTTCAGGAGAACCATATATTTCAACAAAAGGCAGGTAAAGCTGACAACCATATCAGCTTCCTCCTATAGGACCTCAGCAGTAAAGAAATTGGGTCTAGATAGGATGACAGTGATACCTATACTTTGTGCAGTGCAACAGAGCTGTTTTAACACAAATCAGGATAATTTAAATCAGAGCATAGCAGGACTTAATAAATCTGAGTGTTCGGGTTCACAGCAACCAAACCTCTAAAGCACTCACTCATTTTTAGGTGCGTGTATTACAGTGGGTCAATTCAAGCAGGGTTTTTTCACATTTTTTATGTCTCTGGGCCATACGATTTTGCATTTTGGAACATCAAGCCCAATAATTATGTGAGGAATAACCCAACTGATATCAGGGCCAGAGCGAACATAAAGGAAAAGAGAGGCCCCGAGAGATTCACAAGGGATAGCAGGGGTAGGATAAAACATTACTGGATTTAACACCAAATCAATTGCACCAGATCATTAGGAGGTAAAAATACTGCAGCTCAAGTCAGTCTGGACTGTGCCTACCAAGCTGTACCTCGTTTCTACTGAGGTTTTACGTATGGAAGAACGTAGCATAAATGTTACAATCTTAAAACAGCTTCTATGGCAGGTACCGGCAGGCTGTACAGTGGGGAGGGGGTTTGCCTTAGCAAGAATTGATTAAAACTGGTCTAAACTTGTCAAGGTTTTACAAAGCCCAGAATCCACCAGTACTTTTGGTCTCTTCTCTACGGACCACCTTAGACAACAAGGAAGCCTACGCAAACTCTCCTTCACATTTTAACTACGGGACCCCAAACCTCTTGCCTTTGAAGTCGATAACAAAACTGCAACTGTGTTCAAATTTAAACCACGCTGTAGGCTCTGTTTCTAAGGCAGCTAATCACCTCTGTCAACTCACATCCAATTTTTAGGCATTTGAAATCTTTCTTTTTCTGGCAAGAGAAACAGTAAGTGAAGGAACAAGAAAAGACATGTCGGTGAATACATCGCGGAAAGGAGAGAAGGCTTGGAGAGAGAGACTCACGTTTGCAGGTCTGTCTGTCGTCCCTGTAGTATCCTGGGGAACAGACTGGCACACACGTGCTGGTGTGGGAGAGAACCAGGCTGGTGTCGCAGGAAGAGCAGGAAAAAGGACCCTCGCCGGTGCAGGTTCTACATGAGGGGTGACACCCTGTGGGGACAGAAAAAAGAAATGTTTCTGTTCAAGGGAAAGTAGGTCTTTGAGCAACTTTCACAAGGTTCAGCGGAAGCACTCTCAGAGACTGAGCATGGTGACACCAAAAGTTTCCACTAAGTCTAAGCCCTTAATGGTGCACAGTGCTCAGAAGCAGAAACAGTCAGTCCAGCTTGTGACAGATGGATTAAACGCGTTTATTTGTGCTCTGTGTGCCACACACACAACCTCTCTTCCCTCCTCTCCTTTCTCTCTCTTTTTACCCATTCCTCTTCTCTTCAACCTTCCCTTCTCCTTAAGAACAACCCTACAGGATTTGGCCAAGATCTGTCTATCAGAAAAGAGTAAAAAAAAGACAAGCGTCTATCAGTACCTCCCTCTCATGCTTTCTCTCAACTAGTTTCAGGTCAGATCCTCCTAAGTCTGATGTGCTTTGTCTATTTAGGAACCATCCAGTGCTTTTCTGACAGCTCCATACCTCCCTGAAGATTTACATCCACCCCTTCGGCAGGAGTTGCGCAGCTGCTACCTATTGCAGAAAGCAACACTGAGAGAGAACGGTCAATCTCTACGCACCCTCTCTCCACTTCACTCATTACTTCGTAGGTCTCTCTCATTTTTCCCCCCTCCTAAGGTCTCCTGGTTGTCAGGCTGAAGCACTGTGGTCGACTCAGTTGCTCACTGTACGGAAGCCCTTCATCCCCCACATTCAGTCCTGCTGCCTTTCCCTTCTGGGATGAGCACAACTGCTCACAGCACGCAGCTCCTTTCGACAATGGCAGGCAGAACAAACTCTTTTATTCCTCTTTCCTTTCGTACTCAGACCTAACATCTGACTTGCCTTTACTGGGATGCCATTTTCACAGGGGGATGGATCATTACGTCGAGATCCCGGCAAGGATGCCAACATTCTGTGTGTGAGGTTAGAAGCGGGAATCCCTGTGTGCCTATACCGAACTTACACCTCCTGCTTTACTGCCCACTCAGTCTTACGGCATCCTTCCACAATTCTTCATCGCCAGCAATCCCACCGACTGCCTCGAGTAAGGAAGGACATTACTATCTTTTTCTTTCCCTGCATTTTTGAAGAGATATTTTTATGCCACCCCTCTTGTTTTCTTTCACTGTTTCCTTTCCATCCCGTTGTCTCCCACTTCTTGCGCTTCTTAGTCTGACTGAAGAGATTTAAAATACCACAGCAGATGAGGCCAATGTATCCTATTAATTTCTCCAAAGGGGGTACATACTCACAAAATTATTCGTCTGTTTTATTTCTTGAGAGGCCTTTACCTAAAGATTGATGCCATCATTACACCTACCAGGCCAAATTCATCATGAGTGAAAGCGTGCAAAGAACTCAGAGAAGCGCCAGCATTATGCTGTGCTGGAGATCTTCAAAGCCAGCACAAAATGTAATACGAGCTTTGACGCAGTCTGAATAATGCAAAACTTCTTTTAAATGAAACCTTTATGCCAAAGGAAAGAAATGTTATCCCTAGGCTTAAATTTCCAGGAAGGCGAAATATCTCTTTCAGGGGTCCTTCCAATTAAATGACACAGAGTATGTTTCATACATCACTGAGATTTCACTTGTCAAAAACAGGTAAATAAACACACCGCTCCTGGAGTGCTGGAGAGAAGCTCTGAAACACGAACCATCAGTTGTCAGACTGGATTAGGAAATGCCACTTCCTGCAAAAGGAGCATCTACATCTTGATTCTAATATGCGTAATTTCTGTCTTGCTTTCTTTCTCTTAAAATAAACTGCAATACCCTTTGCTCAGTGGGGGTTAAAGCACTGCGTTTTAACATGTCTCCGTTGGCCACATAAGAAGAAACGCAATCTACTTCTTCTAAGAGTCCAAGAAATATAAAGCAGCTCAGACAACGACTGCAATATGAAACCACATCAACAACAAAAACTGGAGGAGATCCAGGGACAGGTGAAGGCACAGAAGACTAGAGGATAAAAATGTGCTATCAGTGCAGCTTCACCTACGCAGCTGGAATACTGCATCTATCATGCTAGCCTAAAAGGCTGAATGAAACTGGCTTTTTGTTTTAGAAGCTGCTACGAACGATCGCCTTTCGGATCATTACTGTAGCAAGACAAGTCTCTGTGAGAGACCTCGGCTAGGATGATGTTCCATCTCAGGTTGCAAACTTCCTGAGAAGTTGCTACCAGCTAGAGTTCTGCCTTCTGCGAGCAGAAGTTGCATGGTCCTTCGAAGCACATAGCTGGAAAGTATTTTCAAGTGTTAGTATGCCAGCGCTGTGCTGGTACCACACAAATTGAAGACTTGGTGATGGGTACATGAAAAGCCCCTGTTTAAAGTTATCCTTTCTTGTCATTAAGAAGCCCACCTCTTCCTAGGAGCGATCTCAGGGCAGCTACCCTACACAGAACATAGTGTACCGTCATCCTATTCTCTGTGCCACTGTCTTTGAGAGATGGGATTCACCAGAGAGAAAGAGAAAAGCTCACCTTCACCTCCTCCTCTCAAGTATACTGCTGTCCGGTACTCATTACACTTATTAATTGTATTGTCACAGCAGATTAGGTCCCAGTGGCCTCAGCTTGTGCTCAGGACAGTACAGCACTGTCTATCTCAAAGAACTCACAGTCTGAAAGCAGACACAGGTTACGAGGAGCAAGGAGAAAGTGCTGTGAGCCAGCTGGCACAGTTATTAGCCAGAAATTATACCTCTAGCCCTCAGTGCAGTGTCCTGCCAGCTAGACAAAGCTTCTCCACTAAATAGGAACCATTTCATGGAACATCTCGCAAGGATCCAGGCTGTCCCTTGCAGCTCCTTGAGGCATTTGTAGGGACTACTCACTTTTGCAGGCACCATTCTCCGCGTAGTATCCCACCGGACACTCAGGAATGCAGTGATCCCCCAGGAGGAAGTGACGGGCGTTCTGGCACTTCAGACAGATGCTGCCGGTGTCCCGCAGGTTGGCCACACACTGACGGCACAAAGGGTGGCAGTCTAAAGGAAGCAGGGAATAACAGACACTGTGATCACAGAGGGACAAACCAGAACTGCTGAGGGGAAACACACTGCTGAGAACTCAAGGAAGACATGAGGGACGTAACTTTCAGAGCCCCTTTGTGCTATCTGGGGCACAAGGGCTGGGATCAGGCGCTACGCACTGCACTTCCAGATGTCTGTAAGAGAGATGACCAGAAATTGCCACATTCAAGGTGCATTGCTTTCCTCTTGCCCTCAACCCCATCTTGTGCTCTTCCTGACCATCACAACGTTTTCGCTTTTCCCCAGCAACCACATTCTCCGCATCTCTCCTGCCCCATTCAAGCATCTTCTTTCCCAAGCTTGGGAAAGCTTTGTATGAAACCAGTTCAAAGCTCTTCGCTTTCCCCCAAACCCTTCTTTGATTTTAGGTGCTTCAGGTTTATATTTAACCAACTATGCTGGCAGCTGTAGGCATTCACCTCTCTCTGCTCCCACTGTTGAAAAATGAAGAGCACAACCTGTGCAGCTGTATGACCTTCTCCCGTAGTTCTTACTGTTCAGATTTTCCCACACAAACGAGACATCCATACCCTGAAGAGGCCACTGCAGACCTCAAAGCCAAGCCAAGAGCAGCATTTAGAGTTGCATCAGAGTGCCTCCAAACCTTTTCCTTTTTTCATTTTTTTCCCCAGCAGCACACAAGCTTGTGTCTCCTGACCTCTGCCTGAACTTAGGTGCTTCAAAAGCTTTTACAACAAGCCTTTTGTATGCACAACAGTGCAGTGTAAGGCAACCTGGAAGCCAAATTAATCCTCATTATGGTAATTCAGAAAATTATAAAGGAAATGACGACTGTCTTGAAAGAAATGTAATAATGAGGCTTGATTTGAGTACCTGGCCTCTCGTCAGATTTCTACTGAAGGTTTAACTTTCTGTCTTTTGTCTCTCGTGACAGCATTACTAGAGATTGTCAGGCAATCTAATTTTACAAGCTGAAGACAGGCTCACAGCGGAGTCCGCAGGAATTCTGCATCCATACCTGCAAGAACATAATAGCGGCTGGAGTCCAAACCTAGTCCGACTTCTATACATTACACATAGATGATTATTACCAAACACTGGTGGAAAAGCACAGATGCAGCTCAGAACTGAATGCAATTCTGACTGCATGCAGGGATTCAAGGTCCTTAAAGCAGCTGCCTCCTCCACCTCCTGACTTTACAGGGTATACAATCTATCTAGTTTCGGCCTCACACTCTCAAACCTTGCAGATGGGAAATTAACAGCCAGAGGGGAGGTAAAGGTGTCCAAGAAGAAACATTATGCTTAAGATAGTGACCCTGTAGATTCTCAATCCCTCACTGCCAGGACAGTGGCAAGAAAAGAAAAGCAGCACATGGGGTCATGCTCCCAAACTTGGTGACAAACCTCAAACCCTTCTTAGAGCGGTTACGGCTTACAGGGGTTATCGTATTGCAGCTTCTGACTGCACAGGAGGAGAACTCAACACCCAAGGCATCATCCCACAAATCTTCACTGCGAAAGATCCCAAACCTGTGCTGACATCAGAGTGGAAAGACCTGCCATCTATCTGTAGCCTCACTGAAGGATCACACGCTGCTCACCATAGACAGCAAGGACTAAGATATTACCTGAAAGGCCCTGAGCACCATATGTAATTTGTATGCATAAGGCTGGAGGTGGGGTGAAGAGTTTTATGCACTTATATTCAATAAAATTTACATAAATCCAATTAGTTTCTCGTGCTTCCACGTTTACCTGGCAGTATGTCTACTCCTCTTATTGTTAAAATAATACTCTTCCTGTTTATTCTCTTGCTGGAGCCACTGGTCTCTAATTGACAGCTTTGGCTACATAAGTAACCAAACTCACTGTGTATGGCCAATAAACTCCATAAACAGAGCACAAAAAGGAGAAAACTTAGGCTGTCCAAATAACCAATATCTGCTGTAAATAACTAGACTCTCCCAAACTAACATTTAAAAAGCTAACTATCTAAAAAAACTAGGTGCTGTTGCAGTAGTTTTCTCTTTACAGCCTCTATGTTTGCTCCTGTGTATTGAAAGAGTTCTTTTTCTCAGCTACTGTTTTAGGATAAATCAGCCCCACCACTCTCTTGTTCCTTTGCAAGCCTGGAGATCAAACAGCACATACCACCAAATAAAAACCAGAACTGACGCTGATGGTGAATTTGAGGGACATTGGGGAACTAGTGAGAGAGTAAAGGAAGAACTGAAGTGCTTTGTTTTGGGAAAGATTATTTAAATTTTTCACAGCAGGCTCCCTTTGAAGCGAGGACTAACAGAAAGCGGAGCGTTTGCTTTATGCTTCTCAATAATACTGCAGAGCCGTATTTGTTTCCTCTTTCCGCCTTCTGCCTGTCAATCCTCACTCCAGCTCAGCCAGCAGGCAAGTTACTGCCTGCGGGCTTTGGGTTTTTGGAGGCTTCCCGTCCTGTGTTTATTGCAGGTCAGTGCAACACATAACTTAATTCCCTTAGACTTCTTCCAGTATCCAAACTGGATTATTCAGGGCAGCATGTCACCACCTTGTTCGTAGTGCCACCAGCGCCTCCCTGCTCATCTTTTTGAGACTACTGACTTGCCTGCCACTGTCCAAACAAAGCTTTTTCCTCCTACCCTTTCAGCTGGCTCTCATTTCCTCCTTGTCAATTCACCTCTATGCAAAAAAAACCCACCCAAACCCTCACCTTACCTATCACTGATCTTCCTATAAAGCAACTTTCATTGTAAAGTATAATAGCTTACATAGATTTCCATTTCCAGAGTTACTTTACTTGAGCTTTCTCTTAGCAAGCAAAGAAAACAAAGAAAATAGTGCCCTTCCTACATGGAAAGTATCTATTTTACGCCGTTCCCTTGCCTGTCAAGACAGAGAAGGCTGTTTGGGGAGACAAAATTATCTCTAAAGTGCTTGTGAATGCTCCTAAAGGAAACCAGAGGCATTTCTACCTCTCCGTTCCACCATTTGCTAAGCAACCAACCACTTGTATTGTTTAAATACACCTCCTCTCTTAACGGTTCTTTAGAAAAAAATTTCCTGATGCAAGTTTTGTACTATGCTGTAAGGTAAGGTAGGAAGTTTACAACAGAGCGCTCCTTTAAATCAGTACTTACAGCACCATGCAATTTACAGGCATGTCAGCCCGCAAATATTCTCTAGCACCTTAAAAGCAAATCCAGAAAGAAAATCAGTATGGTTGATTCAGAAGGATGCCGAGCACTGACCAGGATTTTTGGACTGATCTGGTTGTTGGAAGGGGTTTTTTTGCCTTTCCTTTAAAAGACTCAAAAGGGAATTTCTCACCCAAACAAGCGAGGTGAACTTCTGGTTACGTGCAACCGTGTTTGCAGGGACCTGCCAGCATCTTCTGAAAAGGACGGGAGCTTCTCGGGGCAGCGTAAGGTGGGAAATCCAGGGGGATGGTGCCTGGCACCAATGAGCCCAGACCAAAGTAGGGAAATGATCTTCCTTTTTTCTCCTCCGACTCAGCTGTTAATGTCCACAGAAGGTTGCACGCCAATGCCTAAGTGGAGCTAAGCCCCCAGTTTCCCTCTTGCTCTGCTCAGCGAAACTCCAGCTCTTTGTGATGGTATCAATGTCTCTCTAAGAGTATGGCAACAGCTCATTAATTTTACAACGAGCTGAATGTATTTCTTGCCGTCAGAGTGTCCCTTCTGGATTTTTAAGAGCGAGGCAGAAAGGCTTGTTACAGGCACCCTCCTGAGTGAGCTCTTCGGGTTTATCTTTAAACATTTTCACAACTGCACAACTTTCACAGAAAGCAAGGGCCAGAGCAGCTGAACACGGGGACCGGGAGTTCCCTTTCACGGGAGATGCAGCTGGAAGTTTAGACAGGACCTTGGGGGATACTGCGTCAGCGGGTGTTTTGAGTTTCATTTCACGCCAGCTGCCCTCGCTACTAATTCTGGTAGGATGTCCTTCGCATCCTTTGACGCCTTAGCTGAGCACCCAGTAGAGCTCAGACTGTCAACTCCTCGCTTCGGCCACTGCACAGTCCCTCTGCATTTTTCTAATCGCCCTTCCACCAGGAAGGAAAAGTCAGGAAAAGATCAACGAGGAAGCCTCAAGATCAACGAGGAAACCTCAAGGCAGGCACATGATTTATCCAAATCAGAAAAGGGCAGGGTTTTATGAGCAGGACAACAGTTTTAATGACGGTGTTATTTTTTAGATTGGCGATTGCAACATTGAGGTTGTCTTGGATAAGAGGGAGAAGGAAAACAAAGAGCGTTTTCAAACTCGGAAAACAAAAAACACAAAAGCCCCGAGACTCAACAGGAGACTGCTAAAGCCACAAACGCATTCCTGTACATACACTTTAGCTATAAAACAAAATTAATCAATTGAGTACTCTCAAAGAAGATTGGCACTGATTCAGCGTGCCCAAACCAGGGCTTAGAAACTCATTAATCTCGTGAAACTTGAGGCCATTTTGTCTTTCCTCTGCTTACATTTGAAATGCTTATTTGATAAACTGCCGAAAACAAGATCTTTTTTTTCTATTAACAAGGCAAATGTTCCAATCCTCATTCAGGTAACATGTACAATAACAACATTAATTCACAGGCAATGGTTTCAAGTGACAGTCGGTTTTCTCCATCCTGTATGAAAGATCTTCCCCTGCAGGTCCATAAAGTATGACAGGCGGCTATAATGCACAGCAGTCCCCATAAGCTGTAAGACAGTTCTGCCTGGAGGGTCGGGAATCGGAGATAAATGTGAAGATAATTGTAAAAAAATACTGCTTTGGGAAGCAAAGGAAAAAGCTTTGTTAGATTCTGATGAAAAACATATATTATGCAAGTGTCAGGGATTTTAATGTTCTCTTTTATGGGACAGCTGCTCTTTAACCGGTAATTAATAACTTGCAAGGGCAAATTTAGCATTTCAATCAGTGCTGAATGAGGAGAACAAGTGAAATTTAACAACCTGGATGTGGAGCTCTTTATCTCTAGCAGAAGGCAACAAGCATCCCTTGCTTAAACGTCAGACATAAATTTGGCACAGGCTGCAGATCCCAGACCAAAGCACAACTTTTTTTTTTTTTAAAAGGCAACAAATAACTGTGTTCCTCTACCAGAATTTTCAAAACTACAGTTAGACAAAGAAACATCGATGCATCTATGTGCAAGACCACGTGAACGTTAAGGTTTCCTACGCTATAAGGAATATCTGTAGTGGCTTCTGGAAGGCAGGACTGACACAAGGCTGTCACGCAGCAAAACTAAGGTTAGAGCTGGGAGGAGGAAAGGCGTCTCCTTACGCGCTTACTATGTTGCACCTGGAAAGCCTCCTCTCCTGTTTTGGGGGCACAGATCCAAACACTACTGAAACTCAACGATGTCAGGCACTGTGAACCAAGCTTTGAAAACGTGTTTCTACTTTGACAGGACAAGTCTCCAAACAGTGGACCGCGTTCATGATCTACAGGGCTCCGAAACGAAGCTTGTTCGTTTGCAAGGGAAGGATGCATCACCGGACTGCAATCGCTTTGGAGCCCAGAAAGCCAGAGAAGGTTCTTCGCCGATGATTCATCACTGTCAGTGTAGCGCGTCTGGAGGTCAAACCTCACCCTCCACGTTAGCTGAGTGAGCCCATTGTTTCCAATTTCTGCTCCTCATTATTGCTGGGCACTGTGATGTCCACCTAACCACCCGGGATCTGGGGAGCACACTTAGTGCTCGGTGACACCCAGCCAAACTTACAGTTAACAGCAGTCCAAAGGGGATAATTAAAGCACATAGCATGCAGCAAGCAGCAGAGGAAACCCTCCTCAGAAAGAATCCTGGTTTATGATAAATGGTACTATGTTTTTCCAACGAGATTTACAGCTGGAAGACCACATTTCCACGGGCCTTTTTTTCATAGGAAGCATAACGCAAAGTAATAGGAAAATAAAGTGGAAGAAATAAAGTGCATACAGCTATGATGTGACAGGACATTAATAAGTACTGTTGGAGGCCCTGAAATTTTACAGGGCAGAGACAGCTCTTTACACTGAAATGCTGAATTATTTCCACATTGTAATTACTTGACTGTATGAAACATCTTGATTCCCCAACCTGATTTCTTGTATACCTAAGGAGCCGTACAATACTTATAGGATATTTTCCTGCTCCTCAGATACTTTGTTTCCTGTCTCTCTTTGTCTCTGCAGACACAACAATAACTGTTATTTAAAAGGAAGATGAAGAAATGGTTCATAAAATTAGTCTGTGGGGAGCAAAGAAACAAGTCTTCCATTAAAAAAAAACCCAACACCTATATGTAAACAAAAAGAACTCTCCGTGAAGGGGTATCATCTATATTAAATTGAGAACAATGGCCTCTCAATGGATATATTTATTACGTCTAATGTATTTTTCCCTCTCCTTAGGATTCCTTATCTCATTTGGAACTATTCAGCCTAGATTAAGCCTCACACACCATATCTCTTTTTGATAAAGAAAAAAAATGACTTGACAAAGCTCAGAGATTGTTGGAGCAGTTCCCAGGATATGTTTAAACATGGATGATGGATTAAAAGCGTGATGGATTAAAAGTGATTTTTCTTTTTAAACAGATAAATGCAATCAGTGGCTTCTGACGATAGGCTTAAGTGCAGGCAGCGAGCACCCACAAAGTACAACCCCTATAGAGAAATCCTGTTACCTCCCAGAAATGCACACAGCAATGCTAGCTGTGCCAGTTTTCCTTTAGGGCCCCATAAACTGCTTCTCTGAATCACAGATGTTTCCTTAACTCACTTTACTGAAGCTGTGTGCGGGACCTAAGCAGCCTTCCTGGCTCTGGGTCCCCCAAGCTTGGCTCTACGGTGACAGGTAAAGCTCAGACTGGAGTGAGACACAGATAAACGCTTGACCTGGCAAAAGGCAAGCACATCGCCACTCAACAGAGCGGAGCTGCAGCCCACCGTATTGTTAAGAGCATGCTCATTATGATACTAATAAGTATATGAATGCTCTGATGGTTCCCAGACATGCTGGTCCATGCGTGTGACCTCAAGTCTTCACACCAAACGGTGCAGCGGCAAGCCTGGCAAAGGAGAGCCTTGTCTCCCTCTCACTACCACCTGCCTTACTCAACTTGGAATTGACTTCACACAGCCCTAGTGAAGACAGGTATCGTGGCAAGCGACTTTGCTATATACTACGCACGATGAAGAGTTTCCTCATGGTATTTTTATCTGTGTGACACTTTACTCATGACAGGCATTTTGATTTCTTCATGGTGTGTGCCCAAGTACCCGGTTAAGGCCACAGAAGGATCATCATGCTGTATGACCCACGCCATCTCCTCTTACTTACCCACGCAATATCCCACCAGGTTGAGATACTGCTCTTCCTTGCAGCTAGTCCTGCACTTCCCGCCAGCTAGAGTCGCATGGGGATGGCAGGTTAAGCACTCCAGATCGGAAGGGCCACGGCATGTCTTGCAGGACGGATGACAGGCTGGAGAAGAAAATCAACTCTTGTTGTTATGCTCTTGCTATAGTCCACCTTACACTTTCCCCTCCCCAGAAAGCCAGCCCCCCTATAATAATCATTTACTCCTACAAAACATGGACATAAAATGATCTAATAGCACCGGTGACTGCAGAGTTGTGGTTTAGAAGGCTCTTACATTGTCATTTTGAATGAACAAGATGAGAAACGAGTTGTCAATTTAAAAATTATTCACGTTCTGCATTAATCAAGGTATAGATCTATATAAAATAGAAAGAGATTGGCCCTTTTATTCCTCCCTCCAGCATATGCTTGTTCAAATAAGAGAGTGGGATGCACAGGGGAGATAAATTAAACATCTCGGGATGGTATGAACATTACAGTGGCATGAGTTTGATATTAACGAGTGGAAAATCCAGGAATGATTTCTGCACAAAGCCCTCCCAAACTGAAACCGATAAAACCTGAATGCTGTGCCAGCTCATTAGCTATTCTGTCTGCTGAAGGCTCAACAAAAAGACTGCAGAGAAAGTGGTTAAGATGGCTCAAAAATATTTCACCCAGGCTGCTTTTGTATCCTTCCACCTTTAAAGACAGATGCCACATTTCCAGGATTTCCACACTACAGATCTGAGGGAGACAGAAATACTATGGCTAATGATCTGTAAAAAAAAATCTTAAAAACTACTTTTAAAGCTCTTCTACAAATTAAAGCACACAGCTTCAAAAATCTCCCACCTCCGGACTCCCCCAGGCTACATACAATTGCTCGCTCCCCGCATGGAAGCCGGGCATTTCCCAGCTGCCACAGCACAAGGCTCCAGTGTTTTAAGACCTAACTCGTCACCTCCCACCACTTTCTCAGCCTCTCAGCGATCACGCTCGCGAATTCAGTGTTCAAAAGGAAGAATCCCTTGTGAATTCAGTGTTCAAAAGGAAGAATCCCTTTTCTAGACACACCTACATTAACTGAGCTTCGCTGTTTCAAAAACAGCAGGAGATCTAAGCTGGCAGCATACAGAAAGATGCCACTTTCCTGACGCTGAAATTTTGTTTCTAAGACATTTACGTAAGCCTGAAACTGCATAATGCAGTGTTCAGCAGTTACCTCAGCTCTGAGGTGGCAGCGCACAACCTCAAAATTGATGAATCTTTACGATGGCCTGCCAAATAAATGTATTTATAGAGTTGTTCCTTGGGTGAATAAATTGAATAAATAGAGCAATGGACTTCAGCAGAGGTTCTTCTCTCTAAACTTGAGGCCTCCCAGGGAAGCAACCAGTAAATTTCTCCTACTGCCAGAACAGATATATGGACGCCTGACCCAATGAATCTATTCTAAAACTGCAGAAAACTTCCAAATGACCTTGAAGGGAGTAATCAGATTTCAAACGCCTGCGTTTCCTCACCCACTGTACTTAGCAGCTCGTAATGAACGGGGTGCCACAAAGGCCACCATTTTCTGCAAGTGGCAAACAGGATTTAATCGTTGCAGTCACTCAGGAAGTCAGGAGTCACAGTCATCTGCTTAGATGAGATCAAACAAGCTGAATGAAGGCCACTTGCTGACCAGCGGGCAAGGCTGAGACACAAATAAATAACGCCGTCCCCACTACTGATCAGGCACGTGCATAGATGTAATGGCTTTTCTCCTGTATCTGCAGAATTCCTTCCTTCTAAACCCAGCCCTATAGCTGGGAGCGGATTAAAAATAAAGCTAATTCATATGGACAATATGCTTATCTAGCCTAATAAAAGCAGACCATTTTTCAGCGTGGTCCAGTAAAGACCTCTTCCGCCACAGCGCGCTGGCTAAGAACACCATCCAAGCCTACTGAAATGAAACGCAAAATATCTTCAGGGAAACAGTCCAGAGAAGCAAAACTGATTATAATTTATGATTTAGTGTGTATGCCTCTCTCCCATTAGGAGGAGATTCCATTTCCTGAAATTGGACTATCCTATTCTCCCCTGAAAATACTTAAATAGCCTCCTATAAATCTGACAGCATCTCTAATTATATTGAAAAATGCATGACAAAACGTGTACACAATGAAATTCAGCAGTATGAGCCGCAGGTGCCTGCGCTATGCACTCACAGTAGCAGTGATCTTTGTGGCTGAACAGCCCCTCTGGGCATTGGGAGAGGCATCTGCCTTCAAGCAGGAGGTGGGAAGACAGACAAGCCGTACAGTCCCGAGAAGCGTTCCCCACGCAGCCTGCGCAGGAGGAGTGGCACCCTGCAAGGAAAGAAAAAACAAGAAGACAGAGCACGCCGAATTAGTTTTAGCTTATCTGAGTTGTTACTGCCCTAGAGTACACCTAGGTTGGGATAAAGCTCCCCAATGACAGGAAGGTATTTCCTTTACAGGATTCTCTGCTGGTGAAAGGTAGAAAGGGCAGGAGCACACAGGCTGTATAGCACACTTCTTGAAGATAAGGAGCAGCCACAGATAGCTGCATATTTAATCTTTTTTTTTTTCACCCACACAATTCATTGCTGAAACGGAAAGCTGAGATGCACAATGCCGTGTAATACTGTTCTCCTCTCTATAAGAGCTTTGGGCTTCTCAAACTTACCAGACTGTGAAATCATCTTTCACTATCCCCTTACTCCGGGAAGGATTTTTTATCCAGCATCACTGCATGGTTATCATCAACCATTCTGGAGCAGTAAAAGTAAATACACATAGAGGTGGGCTGCCCACCTGACTTTACAGCTAGTGGAACGAACGCTCATTAGAAGGTTCATTCAGCAAGAAGGAAAAGCGTGCAGTCAAAAAGTCAGACTTCTTCACCTTTACTGGTGGTGACCATAAACCAAGCCATCTCAAACTAAGTAATCTGATTAAATAAATATATAAACTCATTAGTTAAAAACCTAGTACTTATCAGACCGGTGACTTGAGGCCACGGGTTCCACTGAGAGAGTCACGGTTGAGCACAAAGAGAGACTTCCTGCCCTCTAGGGGGGCAAGACAGACATAAGGCTGGAGAGAAGAAATGAAATGAAATGAAATGAAATAAAATGATTTATACAAGTACAGTTAGCTGTCTGCCAGAGAGCCAGGGAGAGAAGTCAGGGATCCTCATCACAAATGCAACGTGTCCAGGACTATCTTTGGCTCAAGTGACTCAAATCATATCAGAGAGAACTTTCTTACAGTTTCATCAGGGAAATCTCAAGCATTAGAAAAATATAGGGATATTTCTGTGGTTTGGTGAGAAATTCACAACCACACAGGTAAAACCTTCAAACCCAGCATTTTAGCCTACATATGAATGGGCTTCTGCTCTGCACAGGTAATGTAGGCACGGTACACATCTGTTGTGGGTTCACTTTTTCAAAAAGGTGCATCTACAAACTTTGCGTGAGTATTTTACAGGGGTAGATCAAAGTTTGAAATCTTGAATCTTCACACCCTTCTGCAATAAATCAAACCACTATTCTAATGCCACTACTAATAGGGCAGAGCTAATAACATGTGGGGCCGTGCCGGCATTCTTGCCCAATGACATAATTCAGCACTGTCACCGAACTCTGCTCAGGCCTGTTTGTACAGGTCTGTTCACCCATCTGAGGCAGTGGTATATGGATTTCTTTACTCAGTTTCTATACCATAACCTGGACTCAAGCCAAGGAAACCCATTACCTGTCAAGGAATGGCCACTGCGTGGATTGGAGGCTCTACGCTACTGCCTTCAGGAACCAATCCAAAGCACTGGATACCTTACGGTTTGTGTAGGTCACTGTTAAAGACAGAATCATTTCACCCCCCAAAAATGCCACTTCTTCCTTTTTTAAGATCCCCTAAGGCCAAAAAATAAGTTGGACGGATTCTTTCCATCAAGTTGAGATGAAGAGATAAAATCACAATTAATGGATTTTAAATCATGTCCACTTGTAGAAAATGTTTTTTTCAACAGGAAGAAACAGCCATCAGTAGCACTGTTGCTACTGTTACTACTATTGCTTTCCTTAAGTGCTGTAGAGTCACCGTTTCTATGACTGGTCTTTCCACACAGGGAAATCACTGCCATTTCTGAAAGCACCACTTCTCCTTAGGCTTACGGTGGGCTGTGTTGGCACAAGACGTTCCGTCTAATCTCTGTCTGCATTATTTCCCAGATATTGCAATGTGTTTGTTGTACAGACATCCATTCACACCAGCTGCCACAAGCTCTGTACAGCCAGACAGACTGGCTTGCTAATCCACCCAGTAAACATTCTTCGCTGAAGTCCGCAACAGTTTTCTCTCAAAGCGGTACGAAACCACATCTATCCCAAACGTACACCACGTTAGTCTCTTTTCCAAACTCTAGTCTCCATGGAAATGCTTCCCACTTGGTATATCAGGAGCAGTGATGGCACGTGTGCTGCAGGGCATCTATCGGACGAGCTTCCTCAAACGTACACCACGTTAGTCTCTTTTCCAAACTCTAGTCTCCATGGAAATGCTTCCCACTTGGTATATCAGGAGCAGTGATGGCACGTGTGCTGCAGGGCATCTATCGGAAGATCTTCCTCAAAAGAAAAGACTGCTGTGGGATGTCTTGACCTGCTCCGAAGGCTAATAAGGAGACAGCTCAGTCTTTTCTGAAAAGGATTTAAGGATTGATCCTGCTTCAAAATAAGTCAGTGGTAAAAATCACTTTCTCAACTTCAATGAAAAGAAAGGTAGGCTAAGCTGTGCAGACTTAAACGCAGTCATTTTTTAAAAAAGTACCTGAATTCTTTAGTCATAAATTATATGTAGAGTATATTTTCCCTCAGAAGTACTAGTATATGCCATTCTGAAAGTTACTGAGTTTAAACAATCATGACTGTCACAAGGCAAACACAGGAGCTCAAAGCACGTAAGAATCAAACATCGTACAAGACCACCCTGAATGCCTAAAAATTCATTGCAGCCCTACGCCGAAGGCTTTGAAGAGCCGTTCCCATCCTCTACTCACGTTTGCAGACTCCTGTGCTATCGGCGTAAAACCGGGCTTGGCAGTGAGAGAGGCAAAGGCCACGTACAGCTCCTTCCACGGGCTGGGGAGGCTGCAGTACGTCCTCCGGCGCCTGGCACTGCAGGCAATGAGAGGCCCCCGGGCCGATGCAGGTGCGGCAGGATGGGTGGCAACCTGTGTACAGAGGTCGAGAGAGAAGTCAGAGCCACAGCTCTGGGGACAGCTGTCTCAGAGAGATGGACAAGGCCCAACAACCCTGCAAAGCTGGCTATCCGGTCGTGAACGTGAGACAGAAAGGGGAGAACACAACTGGTTTGGGTCCCTCTCGTTCATCTCTCTTCCCAGTTTTGTATCGCTGTAGACAGTCCGACACTCAAAGAGCTAGCAAAGTGCATACGCTTTGCAGCAACTCACACACTAAGAAATCTGTTCCACAAACAGATGGGGTGCTGTATTTTCTATAATGGAACAGAGATTTTAGAAAAATACTTTGACATGTTTCCCCCCCCCACCCCCAAATAACAGCTCTTTTCGGGGAAAAACTGCGGTACTGTGCCACAGGCAGTCAACTTTCCTTTAACTTCTGGAACCGCAACAGTGAATACAATCCCATGAGGAAAGATAGCAAGAAATGACAGCGCTCATGGGAAGCACAAATTCATCTTCCAAATTTTCAGGTTTTCCATTGCTGCGACCTCAGACTTAGCAAATCTACTAGGTGTGTATAATTTCATCCATGTCTTAACTCAAGAAAAGCTTGGAAGCAATGTACAGTTATTTCAACAGCGTAGAGAAAAAAAATATGTCCCCAAGATCACTAAATCCTGAGGGTGTGAAAGAAGAAAGTGTTTGAGAAAATTTGCTTTTTCTCAAAGTAGAAAACAATCAGCAGGCAAACACAGGAATTACTCATTGACGAGTTCAGCACAGGATAAAGGATCGGCATCGTAGCTGCATACTCTGAGCACAGCCCGACAAAAACCAATATAGATACACTGGTTTACAGCAATTGGGAAACTTATCTAAGTACATAACTTACCCTTGCAGATGTTGTGATCCTGGTAGAAACCCTCTCCACAGCCCTGCAGGCACTGGCCCCGGTGCAATGCCAGAGGAAAGGAACAGGAGGTGCAGTGAGTGGCCAGAGGTCCCTCGCATGTGGAGCATGAATCATGACAAGCTGATAAAGAAACAGAGCACGCAGAACTGAAATATCCCATTTTTTCTCCTTGAGAGTGGTGTTGCTCACTACAGCCTCCTTTAGCCAACAATGAAAACCCCCAGCTGGCACGATACTCAGCTATGTGAACTAATGAGAGCGGAAGTGCACGTGTATTAATAAGTACTAACAGTAATAACCCCCACTCAGGCAGTGTTTTGAATATGTATCTCAGCATGTCTTAATATGCTTTGCAAGGCAAAGAGGTTATTTAAAACAATCTATCACAAGTGAACCAAAGAAAACAAGAAGTGAAAGTCCTTGTCCCCACTTGCACTTCATAGACTCATAGAACTCTGGGTTGGAAGGGACCTCAAGGATCATCTGGTCCAACCTTTCTTGCCAAAAGCACGGTCTAGACAAGATGGCCCAGCACCCTGTCCAGCCGAATCTTAAAAGTGTCCAACGTTGAGGAATCCACGACTTCCCTGCGGAGATTATTCCAACGGCTGATTGTTCTCATTGGGAAAAATTTTCCTCTTGTGTCCACCTGGAATCTCCCCAGGATTAACTTGTACGCATTACCCTTCATCTTTTCTGTGTGACTCCTTGTAAAAAGGGAGTCTCCATCTTCTTTGTAGCCACCCTTTAAATACTGGAACACGGTGACAAGGTCTCCCCTAAGCCTTCTTTTCTCAAGGCTGAACAAACCCAATTCTCTCAGCCTTTCCTCATATGGCAGGCTTCCCAGTCCTTTGATCATCTCGGTGGGTCTTCTGTACTCTTAACATTCCCTCCCTCCAGATAAACATCCGGGGAAAAGACGACAATATGTGGAGGGTGTCTTGAGAGCCTTAGAAAAGGTCATGCAAATATGCCTCTTACCTCTGCATCTTCCATTGACACCTGGGAAATAGCCGTCCGGGCACTCTGAAATGCACTTCCCCTCATGTAACAACTTCTCTGAAGCACAGGTCAAACACCTGGGTTGGTCTGAATAGCATGTTTCACAGAACTGGTCACAAGCTGCCAAAAAAGGACAGCTCATTAATGAAATGCACTCAATAAGCAAAGAACAACAGAGACATCAACCTGGCCACATAGATTAAAAAAAAATAAATAAACCAAACCATGCCTTGTCCTTTCTGTGCCAGAAAGGCATCTTTAAGCACTCCTCTCCAGCACAAGTAAGCTTTCACGCTTCCCTGGAATAAGTAGTGACATTCACGGAGGTCGATGTGTGAGTGCAGACAGGTATTCACTGACCTGTATCCCATCTAGGACTCTGAGTAAGTACAAATACCAGAAATGGGTCTACACCAGCACTCCCTCCACTCCTGACACAACCTCCTCTAGCTAACGTAGCATGTTTTCCCTGTTCACCAACAGTCTGTGAACAGGGAGCACCATTCTGAACAATTTCACGTATGAAAACCATCTCATGAATCTTTACATACCTTTGCACAACAAGCAGCAGCTATCAGACTGTTCAGGAAGTAAAAGATGAGGGAAAAGTTCATAAAAAAACCCATTGTAATCCCCACCCTTTTCTTCAAGTCAAAGTTTTAAGTGTGAAAACGCATCTAAAATCAAGCATGATAACGTTTCTTACCAGCTCCTGTGGTCTATATTCTCCCAGGCAGTCAGTTCTGAAGTTAACTGACCTGTTCCCTAAGAGCACTATGAAACTCTGGCCTCCCTAAGTCAGGAGCACTACTGCTGCTTTATACGCAGAAGGGCCAAGCGCTCTACTTAACCAATTTTTGTTTCTTTTCAAACAGACAGCCTCCCTTTAAGACAGCTTACAGCCCTCCAGTTGGGTATCAAAATGCGTGGTTTTGGTGGAAGGCGAAAGGCCTGAATATTGGAGGTTGTGAGGAACAGCTATGCATTTTTGAGAAATCACTGGCAATAAAAACCAAAATTATGGCCAAGCTGCATCTAAGTTTAATTTCCTTTTGAGCTTAAAGGATTTTTGGCTACAGATGTAAGATTTCAAGCCTGCGCACTTCAAAACACAGGTGAGCAACATTTACTGGTATAGAGATCAACCAAACTGAAGGGGAATGGGGTCAAAGTGAAATTCATCCAGATGTGGCCAGAACAGCAACAATTTTGTCAACACACTCCAGGTTTTAAGCCTCCTCTAGCTAGCGGTGACTCAGACAGACCTGCATAGAATCATAGAATGGTTTAGATTGGAAAGGACCTTAAAGATCATCGAGTTCCACCCCCCCTGCCATAGACAGGGACGCCTCCCACCAGCCCAGGTTGCCCAAGGCCATGTCCAGCCTGGCCTTGAACACCCCCAGGGATGGGGCCTCAACAACCTCTCTGGGCAACCTGTGCCAGTGCCTCACCACCCTTAAAGTGAAAAACTTCTTCCTAATGTTTAATCTAAACCTGCCCTCTTCCAATTTAAAGCCATTCCCCCTCGTCCTATCACTCCATGCCCCAGTAAAACGTCCTTCCCCAGCTCTCCTGGAGCCCCTTTAGGGAGTGGAAGGCCGCAATAAGATCTCCCCGGAGCCTTCTCTTCTCCAAGCACGAAGACAGACAACGCCTGTGTCATTTCTCCTGACTATGCCGGACAGTCCTTCAAAGCAGCTGGAGGTGGCTGCCAGCAGGAACCCAGACTTGGCCTTAACGGTTGCGGCAAATCTTAGATTCTTTACTAGAGATTTTTTTTCCCCTTCATGATCTGTTCTACTCAGGTCTTTTAATTCCCTCCAGCCATCTCTTCCCCTTTTCTCAGCAATCGTTCCCAGCTCCCGAGTCTCATCTGTTGTGCAGGTATTAGTTACCGTGATGCTGAATTATAATCAAATTTACAGAAACCTGCTGGCAAAGGCCATTTTTATTTCCGCAGACAAATGGATTTGTCAAGCCCTCAGAAACAACTCAGTTAGGCTTTCAAGCTGTTCAGCGAGGGAAAAAACCTTAAACCTTTCAGCATCTGATTAGCTTAAATGAATTAATAATCTTGCAAACAAACAGCAGCTTTCCCTATCCGATATTTACGCACAAGGTGCATCTGGCAGCTTAGACATGGAATAAAATCACAGCTGCTGCATGGCTAAATGAAATATTGATTCCTTTTTTGCACAGCGTTTCTCAAACTTCTTGCAATTGGAGAAAAAACCCCAGGTATTTACCGCTGCAGATTCCATCCTTTGTATAAAATCCGTGTCCACAGCTGGCCACACAGAGACCTGCTTTCAGCACGCGTGACGTGTCTTTGCAGGACAAGCAATTGTTCTCAGCAGCACCCCAGCAGGAGGAACAGGACTTGTGACAAGCTGCAGGAAAAGAAAGGTGCAGGATTAACTAACATTCAACTTCCAATCATCTCTTTAAAATGAAGAGTTTGAAGTAATTAACTTTTTTTTTTTTTTTCAGTTTTGCTCCTTAAATTCACAGGCATTCAGAAAAGGAGAAGAAAACAAAACCACACTGCTCTTCTTTTGTTAGTATTTTTCATCCAAGCCATCTCAGGGGTACAATTTACAGCTTCGTTCTGTAGGTAAAATATGACATGCAGTATACATTAGGGCAGTTTCTGTAGCTGTAATCAGACTAGGAGGAGAGTTGGTAACGCTGTTAAATCCTGTTCATCCTGGTGCTAGGGGCTGTACAAACACAAAGGGAAACGGGAAGAGATCCCATCACACGTTACTTAAAAACCAGACCTGCAATGAGGTCCTTGCAGTGACTGCTGACATTAACCCAGCTTCATCTACAACCACAGAATTAGACTGCCGGGCCGCAATCAAGAGCCTGCAAAATTAAAACCAAGACATCCTGCTTCTAGAAACAACTCCTTCTGCCCTTCCAGCACTCTGAACCGGTGCAGAAGAACTGACTTGTGGCTGCGGGGTGACCTGGTCGAGCAGGTCAGAAATCCTCATGTGCTCAGACTGAGTAATTCCTGGGGAAGGGCGAGCAGTGGGTCCCAGGTCCAGTACAGCGGGCGCTGTGTGTCTTTTCCTTGACATTGCCAGCAAAAAGGACGGGTATTCCTTCACCGAGTTAAGGTACCAGCTACTTTTCTCTGGGGGTGAGCCATGTATCATGGCTGGGACACAGTAATGTTTCAGATATTCCTGAAGTACATCACATTCCTGCAACGTTGGCAGTATAAATGCCTTCTCTGTGGCATCTGGGTACAGGAACACATAGGCAAAACCGAGCGATCCTCGAGCATGATGACATCTTAAAATTAAACTAAGAACTGTATGGGGCTCCATTCTGCCTCTCAAAAGAGCTGTTGAATGAGCCACCTTATTTGAAACTGGACAAGTTCAGCTGCGAGGGACATTCAGCCCGTAGTAGTTACTGTTTATGGAATCTGTGATGCAGACTCATGTTAAATCCTGCGCTACCAGTGCTTGCAGGAACTGTGCAAATTACGGTACTTTTAGCTATTACATTTTTTTTCTTGATGACACCCAGATTTGTTCCAAAGATGTTCTTAAAATTATTATTTCACAATAAGGCAGGTACATGCTTGTGCTCCCAGACCACGGCAGGTGGGAGAAAACAGAAGTTTTTGACATTTGCCCTGTATCTGCAAACACGTCTGAAGTTGCAGCCACCCAAGAAAAACTCATCTGTGAGTACTCTCAGTGTAACTCAGGAACCAGCAGACACAGCCCCAGCTCATCCACATAGCTAAAAGCACATTTACATACAGAACAGTGACAAAAGGAAACACATTCCTGCCAAAATAAATCCCCTAAGTGAGAGAAAATTCATCCTCTCCCCACTAAAAGGCGAGAGTGAAAGTGTTTGCAATCCAGACAGCCGTGAGCTCACAGCAAACCAGTCATCACCACTGCTCCCATCTCACTCCTGTTTTGCATGGTTTCTATGCTTCTTCTGTCTGCTTGAGGCCATAGCTGCTCTTGGGTTTGTTAATTAATGAGATAGAGAACCTATGTTTGTGCTTATATATGAGTCACACTGCACAGCATAAGATAAACATCCCATCTTGGTGGATCTCACCGCTCCTCAAGGCAAGGAAGTGTTATCATCTCCATCTCATACACAGGGAACTGAAACACAGAGATGTGAAGTGACATGCCTGGGGTTAGAACAGGGAGTGTTTATGGGGCCAAAACACGGGATGTTTGAGTTCACGCCCAGCACACGATCCCTTAACATTTTAGATGTTCCTTCTCCACACTTCCACTTTGTCTTATTTTCCCTTTTCTCATCTTCTTCTATTGCCTTATAACTAGCTCTTTGTTTTTCCCCTTCTCACCTTCCTGCATCTTCCCCCCCCTTTTATTCCTGATCTCTCCAGAATGCTGTGCCTCTTCTAGTTCACTCCTATGCGAGGAGTGTCTCATAAGGACACTGGGCATCCTGTACCCGACAGGATCTTCCCCCACCTCCTACAGCAAGCGCTGCCACCGCTATCAAGCGCATCTAGTTGTGGCTGAATCACAGCACAATGACTAGCAAACATCCCATCCTGAGGTAAAGATTGTGCGCACTTTTCTGCTCCAGTCGATAATTTCCCTTGCTGATAAAAAGCTGCATCTCATTCCAGCTTGGATGATTCTCAGGGCACGTCTACACTCGAAAGTTAACTGCAGAGTATGAGTTCACGCTGTAAATTCCTAAGTACTGAAATGTCCTCACTTCACCTTCCAGACGTGAGTGTTTTGCTGCTCTCTGAGCTCACTCTAACTTTCAACATCTTTTTGAAAAAGCGGGCACCAGAACTCAGATCCTCTAATTACAGCCTTCCCACTGCACAGCTTGACCCCCTCGCTGTTAACCTGCCTCAATATGTTGACGCATCTGAACATACCCAGTTATTTGCAAAGTTCTCAGGTCCTCTCCAGAGATGCTGCTCCTTTCCAACAGACAACTTTCTCTCCTGGCAGCCTGGCCTCCAGAGTCTCATTTTTAAACAGGCTGCCTTGCATACAGCTGTATTAAAAACGCACTTGTGATGAAAGCCAGGTCAGTTGGGCATATGTGCTTTGGCTCCCACCGTGCACCATTCGCTGCCTGCACTAGACCAAGTCCTCCTGAGCACATCCTCACCTCAGTCTCTTCTCTCAAGCAGCTTCCTCAACCTGTCCCTCTGCGTAGGTCAAAATAATGTCTTCACCTCCCACCAGTGCCACACATTTTGCTGGATGTAAGTCTACCATTAACAATATCCAGACTGGAAAGGTCTTCGGCACGGCTGGATCCACACCCCAGGCTCTTCTCTGGAGACAGTGCCCAGCAGTATTGCCTCTCTGCCACAGTCTGCACGTGGCCATCCTGCTGGGCTTCTCTCGCCACCACGGCTGTCCTTGCCCATAGCTATTTGCAGTGCAAACAACCCTCCCTCCCAGCTCGCCTTCCCTTCTGGCTCTGGCTCTCTTAAGCCTGTCTACGGACACATGACCATAGCGCTAATAGAGCAGAAGTCAGAGCAGCCCAGTCCGCTCCGCCATTCTCCGCTGCCAAAAGAAAACTCACCACAAATGTTACTTTCAACACAGCCACCAAGAAAGGGAGTGAGACAAGAAGGAAGGGTGTTTTAGACAAGATGGGCTAAGAGCACTCCCAGTGCCGTACTTCCAGTGGGGAAACCTGCAATGTCTAGACTTAAGCCCGGTAACGATACAAACCAGCACAGTCTGCAGGCTGGAGGAGTTTAAGATCTTCCCTCCCTCTCTCCAGTTCCCAGTAGGCTCTCAGTGGCGCTTGGCAAAGATCCTGCAAATGAACTCCTGGGTATCACAGCAGCTTTCAAGTCTTCTAGTGCAGCAGCTGTTGTGATAAAATTGCATGTCTTCCTAGACGGGGGGTGACTCCTGTGGTGTCTCAGCTATGGGAAGGCTACAGTCAGAGACGTAAAGATGAAGTACGAGCTACCAGAGGTCATCTGGTAGAAGCTGGGGTGAATTTGGCAGTTTGATATGAAACAGATCCTCTGGACCCCAAGCTCCTAGACAGAGAGCGGGCCCAAATGGCTTCTCTGAGACAGAAAGGGACAGAAAGGCAGAGGATCTAAGTAGCAGAGTTTGGAAGAAAGGAAGGAAAGGAGAAAAAACGCAACCTGATTTTTAGCAGGACAGCCACATTTAGCATGTGGAAGCAGCGCAAATGACTCAAAGTACAGGACTGGCAACAACGGGTGGGCCAACAAAAAAAAATAAATGCTTGCAGCAAGGGACTCAGCTCTGATGCGCTGCTCCCATCACCAGCTCTGCTCTGCAAGCCCTCCCCGGGAACAGGCTGCACAGACTCCTCCGCCACAGCCGTTTCTGTATGCGCGGTGGCAAGCGCCTCCAGGAGTTATCAGCTGCCAGTCTCCAGAGGACAAACACGCACAGCCTGATTCATGCTCCTACAGATACAATCCTTCACTTCTCCCGCTTGCAGTGACAGGCACCACGAAATTTATTTTCACGTCTTGAGGACGTTTTTGTCACAATTCCAGCGGATACTAAATCCCGGCCAATATTTCCACTCTGTTTGCCATCAGATGGCACAACTGCAGCCGGAGCTGTAAGTGATGGACCCCCAACCTGTTGGATTTTACTTCACGCAGTTGGAACAGCAGCCCCAACCCATTCCTGCCCTGTGATTTTACACCCTCACGCACACCCTGCCTGCAGAAGCTTTGGCTCTTTCTGCGCTGGATCACTGCCAGACTCAACAGCTGCTCTGAGCCCAAACAGCCAAGTCACCAACTCCACTGAAAAAGCAGGGGGAAAAAATGGAAGCATTCAATGAGCCACTGTCAGCTAAAACATCCTTGCCTACAGCAACTAAGCGGCTGTGTGAAAATAAATCAACAGAAGTGACTGCATCGCCGGGAAACTGTTTTCACCCTTCCTGGCTATTTTCAGTTCAGATTTGTAGGGGCCGTTTTGCATTGCCTCCTTCCTTCAGCGCGGATACTGGACTTATATGCAAGACCCTGCGGCTTAACCAGACACTGCTGCTGAAGGAAAGATGTTCAAAAGAGTATACCTGACCTTCCAGTTGCAATAGGGTGTGCAATAACTCTGCCTCAGCTGACACGATGGTATTCATTAAGCTGCAGTAACATGTCTTTCCAGGAAATCAATGTTAAACCGACAAAACTTCCAGGGTTTCGCTTCTTGGTTAAAGTAAAAGCACCTCGGTGGCTCCTGAGCTAACGGGTCTTTTTCTCTGCTCTGTTACTCAGGAGCTGCAGGGGTGTAATGCAGGAGTCACAAAGAAGTGACACAAGCCCAGGCTTTTAGAAGATGAGAGGGCCCGCAAAGTGATTTTTCTGTTCTTTCATGATTGACCAGAAGTCAGAGAATCAATTAAAGATCCGCTCAGCAAAGTGCCTCTCATCTGCATCAGTGCAGGTATAACATTCCCAGGTTTGACGCCAGCAGGAGGGCTAACGCAAACGGCATCCCAGCAAGAACGCAGTAAGAAGTCACTGCTCGGTTCTGGAAAAGCACAGATGGGGTCCAACCGCTCAGTGCCACACGGTACGGTAACCCACCTCTAACCTGCCCTCCTCACCGTGAGCTGGGCAAGCCCAGCCTACTCGTGTTCGGTCGTTTATCCTCAAGGTGAGCCTCCGCAGCCAGACACGGCAGAGAAAAACAACAGGTCGTGAAGAAAAATCGAAGTGCTTTGCTACAGAGTGAGCTGGGTCTGTTAGTATTAAGTTACACCATTTCAACGCTTGCATTTTGGGAAATCAAAGCAGGAACACTTGAGTTCTGCCTAGGTTTTTGCATAATCTTGAAAACATAAATAATTAAGTTAGAAAAATGCAGTGAGAGCACTGAACACTGTAAGTCCTTCGAGCTCTTCTGTTCTACCAGGCAGACATCTTTTATTTTTCCTTCCCTTTGCTTTGCCTTTGGTGGTGGGTTTTATAACTCTTTCCACGGCCTATTTCTGACAAGGAAAGCTTCGTTTACCACTCTGCTCTAAGCCTGGTACAAACTCACCCATGATCTTTAAATACACTGCAACGTAACTGAACCTATTACCTTTTATTCTCAAATTTACTTTCTCTTAATGGTTTTAATACTTTACAGAAGCAGGTGGAGGGACAGGGGCAGGAAACAACCCTGGTGTAAGATTAAAACAGATCAAACAACTGTATTCCAAAATTCAAGCTAGATTCAATTAGACCAGATGTTATAAAACATAAACAAAAGGAAAGACTAATTCATTGTATTTTGTTACAACGCAGACAACAGTGTTTCAACAATAGGATGGAGGATGAAACCTGGTCTTAGAGGTCTTTTTCACCTCCAGAACTAATTCCTCAAGAGGGAGTTTACTGGAACTATAGCAATTAACACAGTCTAGTTCATCCTTTCTGTGATTTTGAAACATGCTTATTGTAGATGTTAAAACTATTATGAGAAAAAAAATATTTCTGAACAGTCTAAGGCTCGTCTGGACAATCAGATTAGAGATTCGTAAAAATAAAGAGGGTACAAAGAAAGACTGAATGGCAATGAATTATGGACCGTATCTGAAATTTAAGACTTTCTCCACTGGTTTGATTTTATGCAGAAAATGCAGCCAGGCAGAACTAAAGCAAATTGGTTGAATTCCCTTGAGGAAATAGGAACAAATTTTCCCAGCAACTTTCAGCTACAGGCATGCGTGACTGCAAATTTGGATTGAATGTACAATCAGTAATCTACAGACTAGCAATAAAATGAAACATTAGCTTTTCCCTACCACTTCAGCAGTACATGGGCGCTGCCAATTAAAACACTAGGAGCAGGTGGAAAGGAAACGGTAAAATAAAACCAAATGAAGGAGAAGATTATTTGATACTTAAGTCTATAAATTCTTTTGGACTGGGTCTCTTTTTTCTATTTATACTTGCACACTGGGGCCCTAGTCTATAGTCACTGCTGGAGGACAGAGGTTTTTCAGACTTTCAAAACCTGAAACGAACGGTCAGCTCTTCAAGGAAAACCACTTCAGAAAAGGAAGCCGGACTTTTAAATCTAAAGTGCTTTCCCCTGAAATCGGCCAAAAGCCCTAAACCTGTATTTAATTTTAAGCAGGAGGGCTAGTTCCGAAAAAATTAAAGTGATGGCTCAAGAAGTTAAGCATGCGCTCCACCCCTTTGCTGAATTAAAGCTGCAGAAATAATGAGAAGCCTTCTAAAAAGGTCAACATCAGGAGGAGAAAAGTGCTAACTTTAGAGAAAACGATTAAACTGTCATGATGAAAAAGCAGCTGCCTTACAGTTTGGGAAAAGTACAAGTATTTCGAAGGAGCAGGGGAAGCTCATAAAAGCACTATCATAGTTCCATCAAAGAGAAACCTGTAACTTCTCAATCTTATTCTTAGTCTTTCCAATTGGAATGATATAGGATTTACACATATCTCAGTGTTTTATAGAATTACTAATTTACTTTGTAGATATGCTTCCTGAGAACAGTTAGTCCAATCAACTTTCAGGAAGACTGCACCATATGAAACAAATGAAATGCGAAACAGAGCAAAAAACTTTTCCAAAAGGTATTTTCTGAGAGCTTTTCTGAGTCCTATCAATCCCCCATCCCTCCAAGTGATTTTCTACACTCCTCAAAGTACCATCTCCTGAAAGGTTTGGCATTAGCAGCTGCAGCTAGTCTGCACTGAACTCAAAGAAAATCCCCACGGATCAGATTGCCAGACACAGCTCAGGGTGTTATATCCGTAGTAAAATTAGTGCATGCATCCTGTTCTGTACCATTAACACCACAAAAACCAGTCACATTTCCAAAAGCGAATTCTGAATTGAAAGAAGACAGAGGTAAAAAAACACGGTGTTCAAAAGCAGAGAGTTTTAGACCAACAGAACCGATCCGCTGAGGAACTGTAACGCATATTTCCCCAACCAGTAATCAATTTTACACTGTATGTATGACTTAGGTCCTCTGTTCACTCCTTCCTTTACTCTAGGGTGAACATTAACACCTATGTCAACAGCAGATCCCTCAACCGAGAGTATATCCAATAGCTCGGGTACAGCTTTTGTCTCGTCTTTTGCTATCACAAAGTGTTGCAGCCTTTTTTTTTGCTTTGAGTTACCTGTGCAGAGGAGCTGATCCTGAAAGTATCCCTTCCCACACGAAGTCACACACTGCCCGTTCTTCATTAGCAGGGATGCCTGGCATGAGGAGCACTCAAACCCATTGGCACAGGCTGAGCATGTTTCATTGCAGGCTTCCAAGAGACAGAACAGAGAAGAAAGACGTATTAATCCCAAATGCCTTGATGCAGCAAGATTCCCCTGCTCTGATAAAAGAAGACATTTTTGCCTCATTTTGGCACAAGAGTTCGAGAATTTGCATTTTTCACAGGCTTTCACCCGAAACCTCCTGAAGTCTTAAGCCCATGATTACTACTCAGTACGCGTCTGAATGATTTTCCAGACAAAGCCTGGCAATCTCTTTATAATAAGCCTGTAGGATCCTACAACCAAAACCACAGCGTGCAACAGAGAAGACAGTCATCTGACAGGGTATCACCCCTTGCAGAAATTACCTAAGCAAGTACCCCCATCCTGGTAGAAGCCCAGTTCACACATCTCCACGCAGCGGCCATTCTGCAGCTGCCTCCTCGCATCGCGGCAGGCGGTACAGTGATCGAAGGACTGGGAGCAGGTCAAACAGTCTGGATGGCACTCAACTGGCACACAGAAAAGATACAAAAGTAAAATCCATCAGCAGTGTTTTCAATCAGGAAGGCACAAAACAATGCATACTCCCAAATGAAAGTGAAATTCATTGTTTATTTCTGTTGGTGGTTCAAGGTGTGTTAGTTTTGGAGCGGGCTTTTTCCCCAAGATTGCATGAAAGGGGTTAAATATTACATTGCTGTATTCTAATATGTCAGAAGTTATTGCACAGACACAGATTTTCTAGACTATTGGTAAAAAGGATATTCATTGTCCACGTGGCTTCTCAGCAGTAAAAATTTTAAGTCATCAGGAATTGATGGTCTGAAAGAACCTGTATTTGAGTTTCCTTCAGTCAAACCCTGCAATAAGTCAAGGCTGTTTGCATGCCAAGTCAGAGTACCGGTGGCAGACTCCTCCAGTCAAAAGCTTTGTGTCACAGCACCGTAGCAAGTGTTTTCTGAGCACAGGTATTTTCTCAAATGGCATGGCTGCTCTCTCTGCATGCTGAGGCCAAGAGAAGGACTACTTTCGCATTACTACTGAGCTGCTTTTGCTTGCTGGAAGAAAAGCTGTCTGTTCCTTCCTGACAAGTCAGCAAAAAGCATCCCAACGCTGAAAACTCTCCTTCATTTACACTGAATAACCTGCAAGTTTCCAGAGAGATGTATCTAAGGAAAGAATCAGGAATCAAAAGCTACAGAAGACATACAGTTGAAGATAACAATGCATCCACAGTGATAAACAGGAGGAATGACTAGGAGGCTCTGTCTCCATTAATTTCTTTGCAATAAATTTCCAAAGGTCTATGCAACCACATCCTTCCAGTCTCACAATGAACTGACTATGCGGAAAGGTACAGAATGGACAATTTTTCTGTAGGTACAAAAAAATTCCCTCTGCTCTAACCCAAATGGTCTCAGTCAGAGGTCATATTTGCTGGTTTTCACATAAATATAGCTATGCTTAGGGCTATATGCTTTACATGGGCTGAGAATGAATGGGTTCTCTCTGCCTGCTTCCCCCAGCATATCTGTGAGAAGCAGCGATAAATTTTTACTGGCTTTAAGGAAGCAGATGCGTTAGGGACTGATGCTCCGGGCTCAGAGATTGAACTGCTGCAGGCTGGATTGTGCATTTGTTTCTCATTCTGTCCAATGCAACACAGAAAAGGACAGAAGGAAAACTGCAGGCTTCAGTAAATGAAATTTGCATTTAATGTTTAGGACACAAAAATACAAGTTTTGCTCTGTATGTCCACTACTATGACTTCAAACCCTCTATTTTCCAAAATGCTACCATTAGGGAAGAGGTCAGATTTTCAAGGGTAACCGATACACAGTGGCATACCTCAGTAAGAAGAAAAGGGCTGAGAGCACTTTATTATCTATCCGCTCGTTAGGAGCCTGCGCAGATGATGTTCCCTTTTGAAAATCCAGGACGATTTTATCTGAACTGTCCAAAACCTACTTTCCTCACTTTTCAATTTGTAGTGCTTTGCATTTTTATTAGCATGCAGTAAATAACAAGCTTTAAAACATTTATATGGCAAATGTGCCAAGGCACTCTTGCAAATGACAGCATAATTGAACTGTGAAGTTATTTTCTTTTTACTGGGATAAAACATTAACTGGAGCACTCTGATAAAACCAAAGTTCTATGAATGCAGCAAGAAGAGCTACCGACATGAAAAATTAGCAAACCACTGCTAAAGCCTACCAACTATGAAATGTAAATCAAGGAGAATTACAATATCCTGGAGAAAAATGAACTTATATGCAAAATTAACATATAAGCTAAGGCTATCCTCATCTTTCCAAACAATTATTAACTGGCAGCCATTCAGCCCCAGGTGAGCTTGTGGTGTAACAGTGTAAGCAGGTTCTTTCTTCTTTCCACTCCCAAGAAATAATCAGGAGCCCATAAACTCCAAAACCCATGTGAGGATTCAGGAAAGAGCAGTCCCCTGTCTTAAAAAAACTCATGTGGAAGAAAAAAGAAAAAAATCAAATCATTTCCAAAACACCAACCTCAAGGAAAAACTTTTTTTGACAAAAGAAAAGTTATCATTTAAACCAGGGAAAGTCAGTGGGAGCTTTTGGATGGAGCCCTAAACCTCTCTAAGAACCCTAATTAAATTATACGGAAACCAGTTAATTAGCAACTACAAACCAAAGACAAACCAAAATTCAACGGAGGTATCAAACTGGTATTGGGGATCGCGGGGCGCAGGGATGCTAGAACAACCCCCGTGCCAGAGGTGCGTGCAAGGCACGCACTCCCACCCCACCACGAGTGATGCTATGAAACGATTGACCCTGGGTCCATACCTGGCTCGCAGCGCGGGCAGCAGTCACCCTGTGCCTCGACAGCCAGGCTGCCCAGCGGGCAGGGCGGGCAGGAGCGCTGGAAGCAGCTGACCTCCGCATCCCGGCATTCGCATTCTCCGCACGGTCCTTCTTCCCATTTCTCTCCGTTCTGCACAAGAAACACCGAATGGCCAGCGTCAGTAGCGAAGGAGAGCCTTTGCGCAAAGCGGTTTTGCCACGCATGGAAATATCTGGGTAAATTGCAAGGCTACATCAGCGCTAGTAGTAGATGAAATATTTCTGGGACTGTTTCAGCACGGAGGGCTGCGTGCCTCTGTACCATTAACCCTCTTGCCCTCTTTGCCTTTCCAGAACAAGGCAGCCTGCAAAGTGCCTACCGAGAAGAGTCCGTGGCCCGTGAACACCTGAACACATTCCCTCTCAGCGCTCCCTCCGAAGCAGGGTTTTTTCAGTTAGCAGCAGCAAGTCCTTTCTATGTCTTCACCTCCCTTCTTTTTCTCCGACTCAAAGCATTTTCTCCTGTCTCCAAATTTTGCTGCCTCACTTGTTGACTTCTTTTTCACAGCCTGGTAACAAGTGCTTGAATCTGCTGTCTATCTGAACACATAGACACCCGTAACCTGTCCTCTGTCTGAATCTATGTCTTCGCATAATGACCGTTTTGCTACACTTGAAATCTCTTTCTAACCTTTACAACATTTTATTTCCTCTCTTCCTTTCTTCTATTGCCTTGTTTTCCATCACTGAGGACTGGCCAAAACACCACAGAGATGAAGAGGTGTCACCGGCTTTCCTCAAAACTACCTGTCGCACCTGACACTGTCTACTTTTACTGGTCGATGGAGGGGAGAGATGTTGCCCCCACCGCCCCCGTCCTGCGATCTGTCTCCCTGGGTCTGCTCAGAAAGCCACCAAAGCTACCCGCAGAGGCTGGGGCTCTGCTGGCACCACGCGAGGAAATCAAAAGGCAGAAAAGAGAGAGCAAGGATTTTAAATGCCCGTGAAGCTTTTGTACCAGTTCCTCTCTTAAAAGGGATAAAGCACAAACGGGAATAAACCTAACACCTTAATGTGTTTTACCTCACTTGGGTCAGAGAGAGCGAGCCGAGGAAGGAAAGGAAAGTATTGGCATTTAAAAACCCCCACAAAACAGCATGAAACTTCCCATTTCTCACATCTGCTAGCAAACAGCAGCGATTAGCTCCAGTCCGCATTTGTCAGAACAATGAAAAGTCCATTATATTGGCGTATTTAAACCAATATACTTAACGTTTCCTTTCTATTTAACTGCAGAAGGAAAGTTCCTTGGAAATGTTTATAAAATAATGGACTCTCGGTGCAGTAAAAATCCTAATCAGTGGGATCCATAAGCAGAGAGCTATACGTCGCCCCAGCTCTGTAGCCTCTACTTTACAGGATTAAAGTCAGGCATCTTTAGCTTCACGAGATGTGCAGGAAACCTGTGAGTACGTAGATTAAATATTAAAAGGAAATGATTGATTATACGGCATGAAGGAAAGTAAGGCAAACTTAAAACTCTGCAGCAGACGCAAACATTATAAACAAGTCTGTTCTGTAAATTGTAAAAGCAATCTGCAGACAATATTAATGGATTATTTTTCTGCTACGCTTGCAAATAATATCCTTCTCAGAACTCGAGTGGGAGAGCCAATTCCTCCAAACCTTTACGAGCAGAACTCACGATTACGTGCTCCAAAGTACCAGGATACTCACGGCTTTGGTATGTTCTTTGTAAACACAGTGACTATTACTTGAAATACATTCGGGACAGCACTTCCCATCTAAGTGTATTAATTCTTCACCCTGTGAAGAGAAAGGTTGCAGCAATTCAAATGGAAACATCATCACCAAAAATACTGTGGAATGCAGAGGCAGAACAGCTCTTGCCCTGGAATGCAATCTTCAATATCTAATTTCACCTTATCTTTTCTCTATCCTACTTCATCTCTGTAGGTACAGTTTGAAAAACGTGCTTAGTGAATACTGCAGTTGTAGAACAAACCTCAGAAAAGGCAACAGAATTCAGCGATAAGGCCATTACTTCATCCCTAAATCCTGCAGAGAAAGACTCCCCCAATATAATCCACTGCAAATACAAAGAATAGGAATGCCATATTTTTACTGTGGATCACTAGGATTTTACTGGACCACTGTCAACATTTCAATGCATAGAAGCTTACCTTCATTTTGAATGTTCTACTTTTTTTTCCCCAAGAGAATTTCAAAGCACATGCTCTATTTATCCCAGATGGAAAAAGCCTGTTCTTTGTTACAACTGTACAGCTCCACAGAATCCACTTAAATAACTTCAGTCTGAAGGTAAGAATTTCGCAGCAGGAGAAAGGAATAAAGTGTCCTAATTCGTCACAACTTTTTGTGCCCAAGTGGAAGCTGAACATTTAGAAAAGAGGGAGACTCTGTCCTAGGGAACGAGGACACAGCTCGAAAGAAACAGCTTTGATTTCCTGACCAGAGTAGCTTTTCTGGACCAGATTCTCATGCACAGTAAACATAGGCAAGGTAATACACACTAGTCAGAAAACAGACATACGTATACAAAAGCACTACAGTTAAAAAGTTACAAATGAATTACTAAATCAGATTTTGTGCTGATCTGTACTTGAGCACTTGTTTAACCCATGCCCAATAAATGTCAGTGTTAATACTCATCCCAAATCTCAGTGGCTCACAAACTTCAGCCGAGCACCAAGTTTACCAAATAGCTTTGCTGATTTACACCAACCAGGCGCCTGTGCCAGCAGTCACTCCAGGATATTTTTCACTGTGGCACACTCACCGATTTGTCTATGTGAATTACTTTAGACATAGACAGGGCAATAACAGCACCAAGGTAAAACAAGTAAGCCAGGCCACACTCTGGCAACCCTCATGCAGAATGGGTAAGAGAGGAGAAAGTGTGGTTCTTAATCATCGATGATCACACACAGCCTAAACCTCTCTCTGCTGGTTCTATACATTTTTGCTCTTAAATCATTACTTCCAAATATCATTGGCAGCGGTTGGATCTCATGTCACTACTATGTACTGTAAACTCTCCCTGCCCACATCCCCAGCCACACACATAATCACACGCTACGGGAAGACTGAGAACAACTAGGCATGGCACATGGCTCGCTTAGCCAAAAAAAATTGCAGCCACGCTGCTCTGCCAAGGCTCGGAAAAGGGAGAGGCTACGTGAGATGAGTTGCGGCTTTGCTGAAGAGAGATTCATCATATTCCAGGCTGAGAGCATTGAAAGGCAGCGATGGGCTGGGAGGCAGAAAAGAGAAAAAAAAAGTTTTACGCAATCTCTCTCAAACACGTAGACACCTACATCCATGTGCACCATCTGTAACTCTCAACACCCTCGCTCCATTTCTTCTCAATACCAGAAAGACTTCTGCAGCTTGCTGACCGTACGGTAATCGCGCAGCACCTTACAAGCTCTCTCTTACCGATCCCGTAGTTTCAAGGGCTGGCAGGGGTGCTAGCAAAAATACTCCATCGCCAGCCTACTCCTCTAGGCTGCAGCATCCCCTGCTAGCACCCGTCACCCATCCTCTGAACAGCGGTCACGAGTGTCCTTACTTAGCTGGGGTGCTGGCAAGTGCTCCAGCAGGATTATTTGATGCTTTGACAGTCTGAGTGGTTTTGGCTGAGCGTATCCACATCCATAGCTAGCCCAGCCTGCCACATAACTTGTATTCCTCGTTCATCAGCAACCTACTGAAAATGGCTTTTTGAAGATTAGGTCAGAATCACCGCAGACACTTTCATTTGACAGTTGCTGGAGAGGTTTGTTTGAAAGGGCTTATGAGCTAAACCTCTACCCTACCCTCACGTAATGCTGCTATACTGTGTCGAGCTACCTAGGATTTGCAGTTCGTATCTGTGGCCTCATTAGACTTTAAATAGGACGATGTGACCAGAAAATTAATAACGTCTTAATGAAGAGATGAATCCAAATGCTCCTAGCTTCACATCAGCTCTGATTTATTGATGTAGGTGCCTAAAATACAGCCCTGCAACTCAAAAAGGAGAAAGCAAAGGAAAAAGGAAATCTTTTGCTTTTTGAGTAAATATATTATTGTCATTAATTAATGCACACCTTGTACTGTTGAGGCAAACAATGACTGAACGTGACTTGAGGAAGCAGGTTTATCTTAAGGGAAGCCATGCAGAATAATAAATCCTTGGGCAAATACCTTTTATCAAGTGGGACCATAACTCTTGTCTACAACAAAGGACACTGTCTTCCTCCTTCTTTCCTCCTAGCAATCACATTTCATTCAATTCAAAATTGCAGCGGTTCATACTCTGACAAATAATACCACTTTTAGACGGGTGGTTATCTGTGAGAGCCTGAGTTTGAAAAATTGCTGCGGGAGTGATACTGCTGCACACTTTTGAACTCCCCAGTTTTGAACCCTACACGTTAACATCTTCAGCTATTGTTCTGTAAAATATCCCTGGCTTTTCTGAATAATGGATTCTTTGTCAGTACCCAAGATATGAGCATGAATATTAAATAATTCTCCCTGCTGAGCCATGACAGCATGCCATCATCATTAGTGTAAATGATCCAATTTACAGCCATAAGCACGCAGGAAGCTGACTGAAACAGATGCAAGTGAACAAGATTTTATGATAACCATGACCTTCCACCCAGCAAAATCTCTCCATGCAGATGATCGTCAGCAGTACTCCACCAGTGACAAGAGTTTGGGTCCCACGCTTAATGCATTTTTGCTATTTACAAGGCACAATCTCAGATGAACAAGCAAATGCGTTTATTCCCAGATACACCCTCTCTGCACGATCATCACGTGGAAGGCCGTGCGTGGATTCTCACTTTTTTGAACACTCATTAAAACAATCTAATTCAGCGAATCCATTCTGTCCAGATTTTGGCTGAATTTCAGACACAACACAAGGGTGCTGCTACTCAAGACTTAGCACGCAGGCAGTCACCAGAAAAGCATTGCCACGGAGAGAGAAAACTCAGGCGGCTGCAATTCCTTCCCTGTTCTTCACTGACACTGTGGAGTAGCAGCAATAAAGCAGATATTAGCCCCCCAATTAAAACAGATGCAGTGACAAACACCACAGACATCCTATCCCACTGCAAAAAGGCAATTCAAAACATATCTGTATGTGCGTGTGTGTGTCTGTGTGTGAAGCACTCAACCTTATCTAATGCATTTTGCACACCCACTATAGAGCAAATATAACATAATCTCGGGGGGGAGATTTAGTTTTGGAGTAAACAGCACCGGGAATAAAATACCTTACCACCTTCACTTCCATGCCAAGAACGGCATGGAAAAAAAGGAGAAAGGTGGAACACTGACTTCCATATTGAAGCACCCTACCGAAGCCCCCTGTAGCATACAGAATGAAGATTAAAGGAACATTTCTTAAGCTTTTAACCATCTCTGACCTGTACGTCTCTGTTCACGTTCAGGTCCTGGTAAAGCCAGTAGTCACTGAAACCTCTGGGTGTCTGAGCCTCCATTATAGCAAGCAGACAACGGCGTGGGAGGGAATCCAAGTTAAATTAGTCACTGATTCACACTGGCTTGCTTCACAACACCAGCCTACTGTGCAGTCAACCTTGCATGGAAAATTCAAAGTTTAACCTCCTCTCCTGTGAAGGGTTTTCGAGGTAATTGCACAAAACAAGCCCCAGGAGAAGGGCAGGTTCATTCAGTGTCTCAAGATGTCAGTCGAAGAAAAAGAAAGAAGAGGGAAAAAAAATCGTAAGACTTGACAGATACATCTTGAAAGAGAGAGGGAAAAAAAATCATAAGACTTGACAGATACATCTTGAAAGAAGAAAACCTTTCTTACCTTGGCACACTCCACTCTGGCACACTCTGCTTTCTGGCAAGTGACTCGCCCTTCATCACACAGGCAGAAGTTGCAGTGAGTACTATTCCACATCTCACCGTGGTACCTGACAGCGCCATCATACAAGCAGCTTCCCTTGGAAGACGCACACTCCTCACAGCACTTCCCAGGACGCTGCACTTTGTTCTCCCCCTACAAAACATCAGCAACCATTGAGCAGGACTGTCTGAACCTGTTGGCATGGGCACAGTGATATGTGCAGCCAGGTGAATGATTTTCAATTACCTTCTCACAGTTAATAGAGTGACAGGTCTCTCTCAGACATCTGACTTCCCCTCCGTTACAAGCACATGTGGTGCAGGCATTTTTTTTCCACTGTTCGCCATGCTGTTCAAAAAGAACACGTATGCAACTGCTCAGCACTCTTCGTAAATAACCATAGTTTCTCCAGAAATCTGTGCTGCTTATGGAATATGATGGGTCCTTCTGCATGTCTATATCCAATAATTAGCTTTTCTTTAAAAATGCTTATCTCTACACAATCAGTAAACAGGAAGAAGAGGTATGAGGTATAGGTGACACTGTGGTGTGTGTTTCTCATTAATTGCAAGCTAGTGACATTGGTGAGGCCTTAACTACTATTATTAGCAAAAAAATAATCATTAACAGAAAATCCCATATACATACATTCATTAAATACTGCATTAAATTAATTCCACATGATACAATGCAAGCTATAAATACTTTGACTTTACCCAGTGCTTTCTGCTTTCCTCCTTCAAAAAGGTGTGAAAAGAAAGTGCCTAATCTGCTTCACCCTGCAAACTTCCTTTCTGCCTGCCAGCAAATTCTTATCTAGTCCTAATTTCTTTCAACTCTTCTGGCTTTCCAGGAAGAAAAAAAAAGCAACGGGTGTACTACGCTATCAGCGCTGGCACAAAGTCAGATGTCA